AACACCGAGTACCAAGAGTTCAAGCGCCGCAAGGTGAACGAGGACGGCGAGGCCGAGCAGACCGCCAACCCCTTCTCCGCCGAGGAGATCGCCGCCGAGGCCCGCCGCCCGAAGCGCAAGGTCGCCGTCATGGTCGGGTACTCCGGCACGGGGTACAAGGGCATGCAGATCAACAATGAGGAGAAGACGATCGAGGGCGACCTGTTCAAGGCCTTCGTCGCCGCCGGCGCCATCTCCAAGGCCAACGCCGATGACCACAAGAAATCGAGCCTCGTGCGCTGCGCGCGAACCGACAAGGGCGTGCACGCCGCAGGCAATGTCATCAGCTTGAAGCTCATCATCGAGGACGAGGACGTCGTCGAGAAGATCAACGCCGCGCTGCCCGAGCAGATCCGCGTTTGGGGCATCCAGCGCACCAACAACTCCTTCAGCTGCTACCAGACCTGCGACTCGAGGTGGTACGAGTACCTCATGCCGACGTACTGCCTGCTCCCTCCCCACCCCGACAGCTTCCTGTGGAAGCAGCTGGTGGAGAAGGCCAAGGAGCACGGGCACTACGACGAGTTCCAGGCCAAGCTGGCGGACGTCATCAAGTACTGGGAGGAGGTCGACGAGAAGGACATCAAGCCGATCCTCGCGAAGCTCGACCCCGAGACGAAGGCGAAGGTGCTCGAGAGGATACACGCGGACGAGAAGCCCGAGGGCGACGACGCGAAGCCCGCCGAGAAGGCTGCTGAACCCGCCGCCCCTGAACCCGCCGGGGAGACCACAGACGCCGCGCCCGCCGAAACCAAGGCGCCCGCCGAAGTCCCCGAGGGCAGCCTCAAGCCTAGAAACCGCGACCTGACCCCCGTCGACTTCGCCCTCCGCGACATCAAGGCCGCCTACATCAACGCCAAGCGCCGGTACCGTGTGACCCCTGAGCGGCTGAATCAGCTGCAGGCCGCGCTGAACGAGTACTGCGGCACCATCAACTTCCACAACTACACGGTGCAGAAGACCTTCAAGGACCCCTCGGCGAAGCGCCACATCAAGTCGTTCAAGGTCAACATGAGCCCGATCCAGATCCGCGACACTGAGTGGGTGTCGCTCAAGGTGCACGGCCAGAGCTTCATGATGCACCAGATCCGCAAGATGGTCGGCATGGCGTCGCTCGTCGTGCGCTGCGGCACGCCGCTCGAGCGCGTCCGTCAGAGCTACGGCCCGACGCGCATCGCCATCCCCAAGGCGCCCGGCTTGGGCCTGCTGCTGGAGCGCCCCGTCTTCGACGCGTACAACCGCCGCGCGCAGGACAACTTTGGCAAGGAGACGATCGACTTTACAAAGTACGATGACAAGCTGCAGGCGTTCAAGGACAAGCAGATTTACCAGCGCATCTTCGAGGTCGAGGAGCAGGAGAACGTGTAAGTTTTCCACCGAGTCGTGGTGGCACTTTTCTCGACGAACTTTACTGATCGCGTGTCAACAGGTTTCACACTTTCTTCCAGCAGGTGGACAACTTCAAGTCCGACTACTTCCTCTGGCTCACGGCCGCCGGCATTGACGCCGGCGCCATCATGACCGCCAAGGGAGAGGAGAAGCAGAAGACGCTGGAGGCGCAGATGGGTGACGAGGATGAGGACCCCGAGAACGGCGAGGGCTAAACGAGCCTCTTTCTCGTTGCGGGTCGTTGTATACAGTAGATGTTGCATCACAATGACGAGGCTACACAGACCGTAGACCAATTTCAAAAAGCATAAATAGTTCTTTTCCCCGTCCTCGTGGGTATCAGCTAGTCCCATCGCAATGTGAAAACCCCCATTCAACCCCCAAACGCCAATGAAATGCATCAATCCCATAACTTCCACAATGCTTCCGCGTTCATGAAGCACCAGCACCACCAGGCTGCGTCGCCGCAGTGGTCGCAGCAGCTCCCCCCTCCGGCGCCGTAGCAGGCGGCGGCGCAGCAGCAGCCGCATCCTGCCTCCCGATCGGCGCCCACTTGCCCCCAGACGCGGCCGCGAGCCCGCTGTACCGCGTCTCCTGGATGGCGTTGAGAAGCTCCGCGCAGCGCACGACGTCGGCCTGGAGCTTGTCGGCCTGGATACGCGCGTCGCTCTCGCCGGCGCCGAGCTTGCCGAAGAGCCAGAGCTCCTTGAGGCGGCGGGAGAGGGCCAGTAGGTCTTTGACTGAGGTGTGCTTTTTGGGGGTTTGGTGTCAGCAAAATACTTTTCTTTTTCTCCACCTTCTTCTTCATCAAATTCGTCCCGAAGAGGAACTGAGAAATGTGGAGTGGAGGATAAAAGATTGACGTACCAGGCCCTCGAACTCCATCTGCATCGACATGCCCGTCACCGCGACGGTCTGCGGCTCGGCGTTTTTGCGCTCGCCTTCGGCCTGGATTGTCGCGAGCATGGTGAGCATGCGGAAGCGCGACAGGACATCTGCGATGAGACGGTTGTGTGTGTCGAGGAGGTTGGAGGAGTCTCGTGAGGTGTCCATGGCGGCGGTTGTGGTTGATGTTGGAGGACGAGTTTGGTGGTGAGTTGAGACGAGGAAGGAGCACTGAAGATGCGCGGTGTGGTGGGGCGGCATTGGTGGGGGACTCGGTGAGGGAGCTCGGGCCAACGTGTTGACCGAGAGGTCCCTTCGGTGAGGCAGGCGGCAATCATTGAGGATGAAGCATCTTCCCTGTGAACCTCACTGGTCTTGCGACAGAATAAAACACATAGAATCGCCTTGATTTCCAATGTTTGACATCTTAAATTTCGTTCTCAACTTGTCATTTTGCCAGATTTCAAGTTCACATCCCGATTCAACTCATCTGGTTTTCACGGCAACGTCCCTGGCCTAGGGTCAATTCGTAATCGCTTGAACTGCAAGCACCTTCGAGTTGCCCACACAACTACAAATTTATATAGCAAACGCAGCCTTTTTCTCAAACTATAGTAGTCACTCGCACTTCACTCTTAGCACGGGTGCTATATCTGAGATGGATACTATTACAGAACAATTGTCTCGCTTCTTTGTCTTTTGGAAGGCTGAGCTATTATGTTGAACCGACTCGAATCATCTCCAGACAACGACAAAGGTCGATTACAAACAATGTAGTGTACGCGTAGAAGGAATCTAACAACGCTGACTGGCAACAGAGTCTTCAGGAGAACAGTCGTTGCACCACAAGGACAAGACGTTCTTAGTCGCACCACTAAAGACTATTGCATTGTTCAGGTGAAGAACGCAGAGGGCTTCGAAAGAACCTGCTTCCAGAGCGCCTGTGAGCATGAACCTACAAATACAGTGAAAACTCCCATACCTTCCAGATTCCAGTCAATCATCACTTCAAACACTTCCAATCTCAAGCCCTCAATCACCTCCACTCCACAAAGACCCCAACAACGTCCCTACACGCGGTGAGTTTCCTTCCCCACAACATAGAAGCCTCTACCTATATTGTTCTGTGTCGGAATTACCAACACGCCACTCTCATTATGGCCTACCGATTCGAAAGTGATAGTGACAGCGAAGGCTCCTATCTCGCCAGCCGATTCGCCGACTACGGCTTCACGGACGTAACCAGATCTGCCCGGGGCAGGACCGTGGACCCCATGGTTTGGGACATCGAGAATCCTTTCTCCAACCTTCACATTACAGAGTCGAGATTCGAGGGGCCCACCGGGCCTTATGTTCACGTTGACAATAACATGGGCGAGCAGGTTATCGCTCCCGATCTTGCCGTTTTTCAGGGGATGTTCGGCAGCAACTGGCAACAATCCCCGAGGTACACCATCATCTTCAACACCATCGACACTTGCGAGTTCGTCATCGACCTCACCGACCGCGAAGAGCCCCCGGATGGACTCCCCACGCACCTCATGGCTCGCATCGAGAAGCCCCGCCGGAACAATCAGCTTTTATGCTCGGCGGCGTTCCAGAAGCTGGCCCATCGGAAGTTGCCCTCGCTTGTGCCCAAGGTATGGGGTGCCGGGACTACGCGTACCCGAGACGGTCTTCAGCTTCACTATCTCCTCAGCCAGCATTACCATGACGCTGTTCCTGCTGAAAGGTTCTGGGACGAATTCAACCCGGTCGTAAAGAAAGCTTTCATGAAGGACATCGTCGACGCAATGTCGGAGCTGCAGAAGATCAACTTTGGTGACCTTGACATGGAAGACTGGATCATCCTATCCGAGAACGGCCTACAGACACAAGAAATGGAAGATATACCCGCGGTAGGCAATTCGCAGGTGGGTTGGTTCAGTGACATGGCCACGTTCCTAATGAAGAAGCTTTCACCAGGCAACGCTAGGTACGAGCTAGCAACTTCAAGCGACGGTTCCATCCTCCTTGACGGCGACTTTAAGAGGGACAGCTCCATGCGCCACCAGGTCGAGTTTACCCCCGACAACCTCGCCCTCCTGACGTACTCCAGCGCCTTTTGCCACAACGACCTCGAACCTCGCAACATCCTCATGCGACCACGGCAGGTTGACTTTGGCCCAGGCTATGAGCTTGTGGCCATTACCAACTTTGACTCGGCGGGTTTCTTCCCCTTTGCATACGAAACGGCTGTCAAAGACACGCTCTTGGGGCTGCAGAACCGGTGCGCGAGCTGGTACGATCTGTACAAGGACATGACCCACAGGTTCCTGTGGGTGCATGAGAATCCCACTGGAAATGAGAGCAGCCAGGAGAAGCTGATCAGAGCCATTGTCCTTACGGATGCGGCGAGAAAGAATGCTCAGGGGTTTCATGTGGGTAATAGAGTGCAGGAGAAATGGCTGGAGAGAGAGATGTTCGTGAGGGGACGGAATGGGCAGGATGGCTTTGTGAGACCGGAGAACTTTGACAAGGTATTCAAGCCCGAGGATGATGCTCGACTTGAGGAGGAGGCTATGGAGGAGCTTGGATACATCTGAGGTACAGAAGCAATCATTATTTCTTCATATTGGCAGTAAGTTCCATCGTTCTGCTTATCTCTCCTTCTCTCTTTATCTGCTGCAAGCTCGAGTCTCTACTGATTATGGTAACTGAGGTCTTTGAAGCTGAACGTTCATCCTGAAAGGCACAAAGCGGCGCCGAAAGTCTGCCTCAATGTAAGGGAACTGCCAAGGGGGTACAATGGTATAAAAGAAAACAAACACCCAGAAGACCCCAAACGCTCTGCGAACAACGGAGTACGCGGTACCTGAATTTTCCTTGCCCTTATTCATCTTTAGCCTGGTATAAACAAGTTTCTGCACCAAAACTTCCAATAATCCGCCCGCAAAGTTCAAAAGCAAGAAAACCATGTCTCCATAGATGTCGTCAACAGGAGCTGTGTTCCTCGTCATCCAATTGGTCGCAGCGTGGATCGTCCCCGACATCATGAAGACAAAGAATGCCAGAAACGATTTCTCTGCCGTGACTTTAGACTTTAGGCCTAGCAGGTTTCGGGTGAAGAAGCGCCCGTATGTCAATTGCGACGGGCTTCCAATGTTCTGCCAGAACACGCCCCAGAAGCTTCTGATGCTGTGGACTTGGAGGAGATTTCCCCAGAGGGATGGCCACTCGTCTGGTTCATCTAGCTGCAGGATGCTGACGAAAAATATGGCGACGATGGCATTCGCGACGGTGAGAATGAAGTATGTCAGCCAGGCCCACTGGAAAGAGTATGCTGTCCGCAAAAGAGCTGCGCGGTCGAGGGCGAAATGGAAATAGCCTGGTGGTGCGAATTCCCTAGGGGCCGGTCGTAGGAGAAATAAGGTGCCGACATCAGTGGCAAGATAGATGCCCCAGTGAATACAGATTAGGCCCAGCTTGCGAAAAGTAAAGTAAGCCCGCTGGCGTCGAGTAAAGAGGCGTTGAGGTGTGGATACACGAAGCGGTAGCCGACGAGGGTTGTTCCATGCCTTCACTGAAGCGTAGAGTCTCTCTGCCGAGAAATCTCCTGACCGTGATGCGGTATCAGGAATAGTCCATTGTTCAAGATAAAGGCCCGAAGTCGCATGAAAAATGTAAATGATAGACGTGAAAGCCCAAAGCCAGTCAAGACCTGCCTTAAGCCTGCCAACCTGTAGGAAACAGATAATGGGTCCGGCGACGTTGAAAGGTAGCAGAAACCATCTTTGACGGCCAGGTCTCTGCTGAATGGTGACGACGAAAGCTGGCAGGGAAGTCAAGAACCAGACCACGGGGACTAGTCCGTGTAGAACGGCGGACAACTCCGTGTTGCGGAGCAACTTGACAAAACCAATCTCCATCATCAAATGGGCTGAATGAAGGCGAGCTTGGTGCCGAAAGAGCGCGTTTGTAAGTCGACGAAGTCATCCGGACTTAAAATCACTTACATCCATCAGCCTTTTCGGGAACGGCCTCGCCGTCGACTTGGCTGACGACAATGTCAGAACTAGAACTGAATCCTTCGCGGGTGTGCCTTGAGACGGAAGGAATTATAACCCGACGTTGAATCCTTTGACTGCAGTTGATGAGCTGAACGATGGTTCTCCCGCAACATTTGCGGGCTCATGCAACAGCCCCATCGCGGCTGAGGTGACGATCGCCGATCGCTGGCAAGGATGTAAATGGGCCAAGGCCAGGCACCGAATTCCCACTTCGACGACTGAGGATGTTGTGGGGCTGTCCCGGTCGAATGATGGGATGACTCTAGCCTCATTCTGGCGAAGGATGAACTTTTGGGGTTGCAGTATGCTTAGCTGCTGATTGTGGACCTGGTTCTTTTGGTTCAGACATGCGGCAGGCAACCTGCTGCCACCGCGGTAGGCTTCCACGTCTTCTCCAGTCGAGTGAGAAGACTAGTATTCAATCCAACTTAGCAGATTGCGAGTGGACCATCCAATAGCGATTCAAATACTTTCTGTTGGGTGATTCGAAGCCGCAAGATAACAATTCATAGAAACAGATGACTTCGGCCTCTGTGGCTACAACGTCATCGAGGAATTGCCGCGGCGAAGGGCGTGAGCTGTCGGACCGGCTGAAGTCAACTGTGTCCATGATTCACAAGCCGCACGTTCTAGAACTCTTCGAAACTCAGAGTATCGCCTCGCGAGATGAAACTCGATCAAGAAGGAAGGATTTCTTGGGTTCCACTGGACCATATTCCACAAATTCCATATCCTCATCCTTCTCTCAACATGGGGTGCCCAGACCCGAAGGAATCTCAGCACATTCCTTCTCGCTAAAGCTTTGCCCTACCAACATTAAGTCAGGCACAAAATCCCTGTTACATTCACCTCAAACGTGCAAAACGGTTGCCTAGAGGACCTATTGCTCCCACACGTGGTCTTGGCCCGGCGTAATCGGATCAGAGATGACCAGTTTCGGATGAACTGAGGGACTGAATCTGGTCTCGTATTCTGGAAGTAGATAGGAGGCTGACAACTAGGTGAGTATCTAGTGGGTCAGGGCAACCTCGCCTCGTAGGACGGTTACAGTCCGTTGCGTTGACGGCGTCCGCCCCCGACTTTGACCCGGAAGGAAAATTTTCCGCTAGCCTAAAAACCACCAAATCGCCCTAAACTTCACACCTTAATAGCTCTATGCGTACGCAGTGCGTACGAATAAAAGGTATATCAATTAATAGCCCTCGATTAGGTGATTATAATGATATCTTTTTTATTCGTACGCATTGCGTACGCATAGAGCTATTAAGGTGTGAAGTTTAGGGTGATTTAGGGGGTTTTTGGGCTAGCGGACACTAAACGCAACGCTGAAAAGAAAAAACGAAACCCCTGGTGCGTTGCGTTGAACTGTCCGCTTAAAAACCCCCTTAAAATCGCCCTAAACTTCACACCTTCATAGCTCTATGCGTACGCAATGCGTACGAATAAAAAGTATATCAATTAATAGCCCTCGATTAGGTGATTATAACGATATCTTTTTTATTCGTACGCATTGCGTACGCATAGAGCTATGAAGGTGTGAAGTTTGGGGCGATTTGGTGGTTTTTTAGCAAAAAGCCCCTTTTTTTGCCTTTTTCGGGCCACAAAGTCAGGGGCGGACGCTGTCAACGCAACGGACTGTATTCCGTGGTGCGGCCCGAGATCCTTGGCGCAAATTACCCCACAAATCTATCATACCTAGGAACGAATCAGATGGATGTGCAAGACGATGGATGTTTCCCTTGAATTGAGACATGGCATTGAGAAGATTCGGCTAACCACGCACCTACAACAGTCAACTAAGTGCGCTGCTAAGGACTATCTACAGTGGTTGCGGGTTTTCAGTCTACTAAGTATGGACCACGAAAGCACAACGACCCGCGATGATGAAAATGATAGCAGATCAGATGATACAAAGCGCCAACTCCGTTCACTCCATTTTACTTGATCCGGTTGCCCTGGTTTATTTAATAGCGTAGGCCACATTCAAAGGCTTTACGTTGATCATGACTTTTACGATAATATCTCGGGATAAGCTTTATCTTCAGGTCCCCTCATGACAATGATTACGTCTGATTGCCATCGGTGACATGTTGATTGTGGATATAGACGAAGGAATCCTGGCACGTAGGCTGTGATCACACATTCGAGTTATCTGAGAGTCAGCACACATCGGATTCTCGGCGTCGAACCTGGTCTTTTAGACTTGGCGAAGGATAGGTGACAGCCTGCACTAAGGCATTGAGTCTACAAGAACTGTGGGGACATTTACATACGCCGCTACCGAATTCGATGGCAGAGCATTCACAATGCTGAAAGGCCTTGCTAGGTTCATTGCACGATTCACGACACCGTTTATTGTGTTGCGATATCTCACTAATCGTTTGGGATTTGATTCCTCTGAGCTTGGCTTACGCGTATACTTGACTGAAGAGGCTATAGGCAACCCCTGAATGGCTTCGCCTCGTGAAAACTTCGTTCATGGTAGTGAGGCCCATAGAATCGATCGACGATCTTTGCCAGTGATCCTGCTTGCAACCTGTGAACTGGAGCTGTCCATATCGACTGCCCAACACAAATATGTTGAACAAATTCTATATAAGGACCGGTCTACACACTCAATGAACACAATTCTTTCCTCCTCATCCGCATCAACACAAACATTCCACACAGCTCTTCATACTCAAGTCTCAAATCTCATACACAAGCTTTCACTCTGAATCACCAACCCTCCTCAAAGAATCAAAATGAAGGCCTCCACTGTCATTGTTCCCGTCGCTCTCATGGTCGCTCAGCCCGCTCAGGCTGACATTGGCCGCGGCATTGGCCTGGCCGCCGAGTTCTTCGGTGGCGGCATCGCCGAGCTCTTCACCACCATCTTCGGCAAGCGTGATGGCTTCGTCGCCACTGTCCGCCCTCGCCAGGTCGAGGGTGTCCCCGAGTTCGAGTACCAGCGCTGCCGCGACGACATCTCTGGCCTGACTATCACCGCCACTGCACCCTCTGACACTGGTAAGGCACTAAACCACTCATCAAGTTGAGCGCATGATTGCTAACAGTCACCGCAGAGATCCAGTTCTCTGGCGTCCCCGCCACCTGCATGAACCTGGCTAACGTCCTTGTCGGCGATGGCACCGGGCCCTTCGCCCTTCCCTGCGGCTCTGACTGCCTCTCCTACAGCAACCTTACCCCTGAGCAGTACAACCAGCTTGCTGATGCTCTCCGTGCTTACGCTTAAGTATGCACATCACGATTGAAGACCTGATGGAATTGCGGGGAATGCAGTGCTAGTTGTTAGAGACAGCTGCATTGTCCAGAGACATTTCTTTGTATCGTATTTCTTAACTTCTTGCCGCAAGCAAATGCGGCATCTCAATTTACATCACTCATTCCGGGCGCCCCTAAAAAGATTTCCGTTTTTTCTTCGACGTGATATGCCTTCAATGGGATCGGAAAAGCCCCACCTAGTTCTGATCTCTTGTTCCCAAAACCGGCTCGAGGGGCCTGAAAACTACACACAAGACGATAGAGCGGAACTTTTAGTCCAGGAAAACAGAGCGAGTTCAAGGAAACATCTTGCCTTACAATACACATAGATCACATCAAAGATGATAGTGAGAGCTTTGCGACGCTTAAGAAGAAGCCAGATATCGAGTAAGGCAAATCCAGAATAGAATTATACATCGGAATATAATGTAGCACGTACCGTTTGAGGCGCACAAGCTTCTAAAGTAAGGAAACTCCGAGGATCACGTGTGAGACCGCGACTTCGTCGGCTTTTGTGGGGCCGGATGATCGGTCGGAGGGTCGGATGGTCAAAACATTAACTCCTTCCCGGCCGCACCATTGCGAATGAGCCTAAACGGTTTAGTGCTTACTGTTCGATGGTTCCAAGCCCTTAAATTCGCGTGTCGCAAACACCATGTGTCGAGGTTCATCAGCCGCTCATGGGCATGAATGATTATAGCTACTAAGGTTCCCTCGATCTATTGCTTCCAAAGTTCCAGGCATTTCTTGACGAGCACTTTCTCCCCCCGACTGTTGCGCAAGATAGGTATCGTGCCGCCGCTGGCAAGAAACGGGATGCCTGAAGCGCTACCAGCATTAGCGGCAAACGGTCCCTCAATGACCACCGACCCTGGAGAGATTGCCCAGCGTCCGCGACCCATTGCCAGCCGCCGGCGAGATAAGCCGCAGCTTTCTTGCAATCTATGTCGTCGCCGAAAGTAAGTCAATGCCTCCTTAATCATGTAAAATGTCGCTCATGCCGCTCAACTAGACTGCGATGCGATCGCAAGAAGCCATGTTTCAACTGCTCAACCCGAGGCCAATCGTGCGTCTACGCAGAGAACTCCACGATGGTATCGGCATCAACAGAATCATCAAACGATGCCACACTACAGGATCGTCTTTCGTACCTTGAGCGCTTGGTCATGACCATTAGTCCTGAGCAGAGCTTAAACAAACTGAATGAGTCGGCACATCCCACCAGAAATGCAGCCATCGACAAGCCCATAGACGACAGCTCCGAGACTGGAAGCCTCCGTACTGGCGCTGCAGATCACCAATACGTCAGTGGTGATCACTGGGCTGCCATTCTGGATAGCATTGCGGACCTCAGAGATCACTTCAATCGAGAGGAGCAGTTCAGGGCTGTTGAAAGCCCGGGATCTGCAGTAGGACCGATCCAAGACGTTGGTGGTAATGCGGCCTCAAGATCCTTCCATCCACGACGAGCGCTTTTGCTCTATGGCTGCAAACCCGCAAGATGTAGGGAAGAGATTTTATCTGCCCTACCGCCCAAATCTACTGTCGACCGTTACGTATCCAGATACTTCAATCATCTAGACCTAGTAGCTTCATGTGAGTGCCCCCTTTTTCCTTGGATAACCTCGCCGCTAATTGTCGCATCAAAAGCTTCTGTGCATGGTCCCACGTTTATTCAAGATGTACGTAACTTGCATTCACTCCATCATCTCCCCCTTGCTAAAGCTGAAATTACCAGTACGAAGCCTTCTGGGCCAATACCTCAAGTGCCAGCATCATGTGGATCGGGCTGCTGTATAGCATGATTTGCCTGGCCCTGATAGCTTCAGACACCAACGGCTCAGTGCTTTCTAGAGAGCTAACCGATCACGATCTGGATATTGAGGCGTACAGGGAGAAGGTAGTTCAGTGTCTCATCATGGGCGAATATACCAACGGCGGTACCCATACGTTGGAGACATTCATGAACTACGTCTATATCGAGTTTCGAATTCACGAAGATGCCGAAAAAGATGTCTGGTTTCTTTTGGGGATTGAGGTGAACCTGGCGAAACGCATGGGATATCATCGCGATCCCAAACACTTTCCTGGCATCACCCCACTTGAAGGGGAAATGAGGCGAAGGGTGTGGGCGACTGTTCTCCTCGGCGATAGTCTCATTTCCGGTCAGATGGGCATGCCCCGTATGATCACCAGCGACCAATTCGACACGGAGGAACCAAGAAACCTGAATGATTCAGATCTTGAAGAGGCCATTACCGAACTACCTCCGCCTCGCCCGGAGACGGAGCACACCACAGCGTTGGGCATCATTGCAAGACGGCGAATTCTCATAGCTTTGGGTGCCGTCTCAGATCTGACATCGTCATTGAAGCCTTCCGGGTACACTGAGTACATGAGAGTCGACAAGATCTTGAACGATGCAAAAGGAAGTATCCCACCACCCCTGCAGCCCAAGTCAATGGCATCCAGCGTCACTGATTCACCACAAACCATCATGGCCCGCTTGTTCTTGAGCCACATCTATTGCAAGGGCCAAATCATGCTTCATCGAAGATTCCTGTTCACAGAATCCCTCTCTCCTAGCAACGACCTGTTCGCTTATTCAAGGGAGGCATGCGTTAACGCGGCGCTGGAGACTTTGCGTATTCAGAAGATTCTGAATGAGGAGACCCGTCCGGGAGGACAGCTTCATATCATGCAATGGCGAGTTGGGTCACTAATGAATCATCATTTCCTGACAGCTACCATGATCCTGTGCTCAGTGGTCCATCGAAAGAGACCAGTCGACAGAGATGAGGAGATCATGGAAGCTCTTCGAAGCTCCAGAGCAATCTGGATGACAAAAAGCCAACATTCGAAGGAGGCCAAGAAGGCAGCCCAAGCAATTAGCATCGTTCTGGCTAGGGCGGGAGGTCCAAGGTTTGACATGGAATTAATGTCGCGCAGCATGGAAGAGATGCCGATGGAAACGACCAGCTCGCACGAAAAGGGGGATTTGGGGGAGACTGGAATGGGCTGGGACGATGATAGGTGGCTCGAGGAAGCTCTCCATCTTCGCACAGGTGAGATTCGTGGCGAGTGCGCTCTGCATCATACGCTAACTGGATGTACAACAGACTTTTCAGTAGTTGGAGCCTCGGAGGATCATTTAATCCCGGGTCAGAATGATGCATCTATGCGATTAGGTCTTGAGAACTTTCAAGAGGGTGTCAATATCGCGGACTGGATACTACTGAATGATGGAAACACATAGCCATCTTCAAAACCTGAATTGGCTTACACTCGAGCTCCGCTATTCAGAGATAAATAATGCTAACCGAATTTTGATCAGACCTTGCTAGATATGACCGAGATTCTTTCGTTGAAATGGTTCCTGGTCTTTGAACTTTGTTTCGTCGCAGCTTTGGTCCTGGTTGTTGGGAACGACTAAGTTTTTGAGGATCCGCCAGAACACCCATTCATAACAGAACGACGCAGCGTTCCCAGCCCAACGGTTCCGGGCCGGTTAACGTCTTTGTGAATTAGTCGGTGAGTGGCGTCAAGAATTTTGCTAGTGCCATCATCTACGAGAGCGCGAAAAGGGGCACGGTACTGCGAATGCCCCTTGCAGTGAGATTGCTCTTGTTTGACGTCGAACTGCCGGGTGCACAGACTAGACACTTGTTTAGACAGATCAATCTTGCGTTCATCGTCTGGACATGAAGAACGAGAGACGTGTGAGGGATTGCAACATCACTACTCATGTTATTATGATGTTCAGTCAGAAGGTCTTGCGATGTTTGGCATGAGAACATCGAAGTGTCAAAGATCAGGAGTTTTGTTTCCTCGTCTCAATCCATGTAAATGGTTGAAATCCTTTTGCAGCTTGGTCTCTGATGATATGATAGTTTCTGCAAAATTTCGACGTGCTTTAGTATAGCGGCTGGTTCCTTTAGTGGCTAACTAGTCTCAAGGTGTGGCTTGGATGTCTTGGGCAGCGACGGGTATCCCTTTAGATGCTGAAAATAGCTCAACCCACTTTTAAAAAGTGATATTAGGCACTCACAGGGGAGTTAATATAAAGTAGCATTTTCTAAAAATCCACTATAAATTAACTATAATCTAACTAATAAAAAAAAAGAGATATTCTAATATAGATTAATATAGTAATTATTTTTTAGGGGTTTTTAGAAGTTACTAATCTATATTAAATTTTTAATTAACTACTAAAGTTAAAAATTAGTATTTTAACGCTTAGATATAATTAATAACTTAACCTACCCCTACTAACTTTAGGCTAATTAGAGGCGCTAGATTTTAACTAGTATGCTTTTAGTTAATTATAGATTTCTCAACGCACCTAGGCCTCAGCTAACTTAGCCTTCTAACTTTAATATGCTAAAGTGGCGTTTTCACCCTCCCTATAATCCCCTCCTATAATAATAATAATAATAATATTAATAATAATAAAGTAGACCTCACTACTAATAAATCTAATAAAGCAGATAAAGGTATATAATTTTTTCTAGTTATTTTATCTCTTCTATAGCTAATTTTAGCCTAAAGCTTAATCTAAGTTAATAGGACCTTATATTATAAAACCTTAACTTTTAAGCACCCCCCCCCTTATAAGGCGCTAAAAAACATAACTTTTTTAGGCTTAAACCTCTCTCGCAGCACTCACCTTAGGATTAACTTATTAGTAATATACCTAAGGAGTACTACTACTTAGCTTTTTTAAAGCTACATATTACTAGCTATACGCTTATACTTACCCTCCTCACTAGTAAGAGCACTATTAAGATCTTCCTCTACTTCCTACCTCTTAAAGTAGTAACAAACTAAATAAAATAAACTAATTAATACTACTACTAACGTTAAGTTAGTATTAGCAGCCCTCACTAAAGCCTTAAGTAGAAAGCCTCTTACTATAACGTTAACTTTGCTATTACTCCTATTAAAATATATATCTTTTTTGCTATACTTATTTATATAATAATTCACTCTAAGGCTAAAATATAGTACTATTAGTTCTCTAATCCTCACTACCCTACTTATAACTTAAGTAAGTATATCTTAAGGGACTATTTTTTTGCTATCTACTATAACTTTTAACTTTAGGACCTTAATATAGTAACTTTACTATAAAGCATCTAGTAAAAGATTAACTTCTAGTCTAACCTAATAGAAAAGACCTTAATTTCACTATAGAATCTTAGCTTAGCTATCTCTATTAATAAGTATATAATCTACTTCTAAGGCTACTTTTATAATATTATTAAAATACTAAAAAAACCTATTAAAATCAGCTTTAAGTTATAAGTACTTACTTAGGGTAGCTACTTCCTCTCTTAGATCCCCTATAGTAAGGCTACTACTTCTAGAGCTACCTCTACTACTGCTATAATAACTAAAAAAGGCCTTATTAGTATACCTCTATTACTACTACTAGAGGTATAGGTTTAAGCTATAGTAGAGGTAGTTAAAAAAGCTACTATAGCAGCTAGTAAGAAGGTCTCTAATAGCCCTTAAGTGCTTCACTAACTAGTACTAACCTAAGCTATTATTATCACCTTATTTAAGCACCTACCTCGCCCTATAAGCCTACTGCTAGCCTACTTAACTGCTTACTTCTATATATTTACTAATAACTTATTTACTACTATTAACCTTTTATACTACTTATACTAATTAGATCTACCTATCGCTAGTATTAGCATTATACGTCTAAACTTAAGGATATAGCGCCTACTTACCTAACTTTAGGTAAGTAATAAAAAGAGTAACTATATACCCTAGGGATCCTTCTATACCTACCTTACTATAGATAGTGAGATCTATTAGTTTATATTTAAGGATAACGTAGTAATACTTCTATTTAGCATTATGTTTAATAGCTGAGAAATTACTACTATTAGAATGCGTCACTATCCCCCACTTATATTAACTTCAGCTAGGACTATATATAAGCTTTTTGAAGTGCTTAATAACCTTATCGCTAGTATAAGTAGCTCCTAAGGCTAGGGTAAGCATAAGAAGCTTATTATTATGCTTAAGCTGCCCCTTCCTATCCCTATAATTATTAATAGGTATAATCACTATATAAATAGGGTTAATATTAGTAACTAATATAGGGCTAACTACCTTAAGGTAGCTACTTAATATAGCTGCTATAGTAGCTAGTAGCTTATTACTTTTAACTTCTTACTAGGTATATTAGGGGTTTTATACTAACTTTGAGGGGTTTAATCTACTAACTTATAGCTTCTATAGGGGTTACCCTTACTAACTCCTACCTACTATATAAAGCCTTAAACCCCTCCTACTAGAAGCCCTCTAGCGACTTTAAGTATAACCTCTATAAGTAACTCACAGAAAGATTTAGGCTTACTACTATTAGAGAGCATTACTCTTTAACTATTTAGGTTTTAGAGGGATCTTTGCATAATGTTAGATGATATGAGAAAGAATAGAGGTGTTAGGCTTATATAAAGCGTTTTAAAGTAGTATTAGGGGTAGTTAGTAGTAATATACTTAGAGGGTAGCGCTATACTTGCTATAGTTACGTTAAGTGCGACGTACCCCTCTACTAGAAGGGCGACTACTAGGCAAAGTGGTATAGTGAAGAGACCTAAGCGTTAGTATTGCTCACTAGATTTTTTAGGTAGTAGAGAGTGCGGGCAACCCCTGTTAGTAATGTACCTCGTGCGGAGTCAGTCATAATCGAATTATATAATTGGTCAATTACCCCTGCCGCTCGGTTTGAGCCATTTTCAGCATCTAAAGGGATAACATGGTGTTACCTGTGGTCCCTCAAAGGCCGGGTGTCTCCGTTAGCAGCATTGTGCGATGGACGGAGGGCAGAAAGCTATCTCAGATGCATTGAAGACTTTTCAGATCTGAATTCGCAAACATCGAATCTCGGTTTCTAGAAGATCATTGGAACATCGTCATACGTACCTTTGAAGTCTGCTTTCGTAAAGAGCTTTCACATGGTCCAGGCCTTTGGGACCGAATGCGGTGCCTCCATGTCTTGGATTTCGCGTGTCAGAGACTGTGGCGGTCCACTCGAGCAACCGGCAACGGTCACCCGCGTCACAAGAAACGCGAAGAGTTCACCAAAACAGACCAAGATGCGAAAGACTCGGGTATTCGTGTTGTGGCCTCACCGAGCTGTGGCTATGGAGATCTTCAGAACCTCCCAGAATACAGCCTAGCGCTGTCAAGCCACACCCCTTAGCAGCTAGCAGCCGCCCGCCAGCTCCCACGGGAGTCAGTAGCCGTCGATAACTGCTGGTTCCAGCCCTGGGTAGTTCCCCTGAATTCTGGGGTTTCTCCCAATGAGACCTGCGTCCCTTCAACTCCACAGCTTGGTCTGCCAACACCGGTCTCTCGCGGCTTCCGGGACCCGCACCGGGCCTCCGAACCTTCCCCGATATAGATGGCTGGAGGTGTTAGAGCAAAATGTCCAGATCGACTAGTAACCGAACTGGAGCTAGAGGTCTGGAGACAAGGGAATTTCAAGCCACAGAAAGGCCGGCGCAAGGAGCTCTCGCTGGCTTGTGGTCCCTGCGATTCTATCACTGATCGGGAGTTCAATCACTGAGAAGAATGTGGCGTCGGCATCGTCATTTGCGCACCCCTCTTTCTTGTCCTGTCGTCCTTTATTATGCTCGCCATTCCTGGGCATGTCCTTGTTCTGTGCCTGACTATCTCGACTACCGCCCGGTGGGATGAGACCCTGAGAACACCACAGGACAGCAAGAATTCGAGATCCGAATCCACGAACGCATATTTCGATATCGAGCACCGTCGACAGCCAAGATGCGGTTCCTTACTCTCACTCTGGCGTTCCTGGGATTCATGGGCATAGCCTCTGCGGCCATTGACCTGGAGGGTGTCCCGAGCTGTGCAGTATGCAAGCAGTCTCCATCCATTTGTCGTCGCTGACATGCTCTACTAGGTCAGCTGCATGATCAAGGCGCTCACGCAGTCAACATGTCCTGCCACCGACGCAGCATGTCTCTGCGTGGATCCAAAGTTCAACGCAGCCGTGGGACCATGCATCCAGCAGACGTGTTCCATCAAAGATATCCTGAGTGAGTACGCCAAAATTACGAACAGCGTGGAAGACCGGTCCATCTAACATGACACGCAGTCTCCACGAATGCCACTTGGTCACAATGTCATTTCCCCCTCACGGATGAGAGGCCAACGATCTACTGGATCAGCGGCGCTGTGACCGTCGTCACCATTGCTTTCATGGCCATGCGACTCATTTCCAAGGCTATGAAACTTTCGGCGTGGGGAGCCGACGACACCGTCATCTTGGTTGCTTTTGTAAGACTATCGGTACTGTTTCTATGACTGTAGGCATTAATACTTCGCAGGGAATGGTTATCGCCTACTACATCGAACTATTCTTCTGTGAGTATCCAAAATAGCTGTGCACAAACCCTCACGAGACTCGACTAACCTCAATTTAGTCGTTCGCGCCGGGCTTGGCAGAGACATCTGGACGATCCACGACTATGATATTACGTATTTCTTGAAGGTCCGCCTTCCCAAGCACCCGTGTGTTCAGAAAGTCGTGAGCTAACTCTGAGGCAGCTCCTCTACGTTCTGGAGTTCTTTTACTACATCGGGCTTGCCTCCATCAAAGCCTCGATCCTGTTCTTCTTCCTCAAGATCTTCCCGGACAATCGCTTCCGCAAGGTCCTCTGGCTGATGCAGGGCCTCAACTTGCTCGTCGGCCTGTCCTTCATAATCCTCTGCTTTTGCGAATGCCAGCCCATCAACTTCTTCTGGAATGGCTGGGATGGAGAGCACGAGGGGAAATGCTTGGACTTGAACCGCATCGGACTCAGCCACGTTGCCCTGAACATCACCCTTGACGTGGTGATGCTCATCCTGCCCATCACCCAGCTCTACAAGCTTCAGATGGATAGGAAGAAGAAACTCGGCGTTATGGCTATGTTTCTTGTCGGTATCTTGTAAGTTTTGACATTGCTCTAACATTAATGGGCACGCATTGTAACTAACACCTGACCAGCCTCACAATCGTCAGCATCCTGCGCATCAAGACGTTGATCGCCTTCGCAACGTCGTTGAACACGACTGGTATGGACACTTGCACGAACGATAAATGACTGTTTTGTTAACATGCACCAGCCGATTCCGTAGCAGTCGTACTCTGGGCATACGTGGAACTCGGCGTCGGCGTCGTCGTCGCCTGCCTGCCCAACGTGCGCCAGCTCCTCAAAACGCTTCCCTCCAAGGTCGTTCACCTGTCGACCGCTGTGGCGTCCGCAATGGGCTCATCGTTGTCAAGCAGCCGCACGGTGTCAGTATCTCAAGTGTACCACGACAAACCGAACAAGTCGTTCGGCGACACGACGACGACGATGGCGACCGACACGACAATAGCTCCTTCGGTAGCAAGTCGCTCGCCTCGGGTCTCGCGGTAAAGGTGTGGTGGAGGTCACGAACTCGTCTACCTATGTAGCGAATACATGAGAGAGCACATTCTGGTGCTTCTATTGTGAAGACTGTTGGTTGCTGTGCTATCTTATCTGTGAAAAGTTGACAGTGCACCGTGAATGATTTGTTGGTCGCCTGTACCCTGGACGCGTAAGGCAGTGTGAGTGCCTTACCCTCGAGGTCTAGCGTACAGTAGCCAACACAGCGGCTGTGTGAACAACAGCAGGTTTCGTCATTGTAGATTTGGACGAACTAGTTTTCCGCAATGGCGTTCAAATTGCAATTGTCCAATCAAGAAGACGAATTGGAAAATCTCGACGAACAATGGCTATCTGGTGCTGTTGTGACAAGGATGTTAGAGTCACAGGGCAGTGCTGCGTCAGACATCGGGTATCGAAGCATGCATCGAACCCAATTGATTGCTGTGCGCCCTACCCAGTGACTCAATCCGATTCCCCGGCTCTATCGACCCAGTGATAACCGCTTCAAGATAGACAGAGACGCGAAGGCGGATTGAACATTCGGAAACAACGTTATCTTTATTCAGGATGAATCATAGGTATCTCTCTGTTTCACCAAGAGAACAGCATAACCGTGTTATGTCAAGTTGCCCACGGCACAATATGCTGTATTTCGGCCTTAATGCTCCGTTCAGCGGGTTTCATCCACCCATGACTCCCCCGGAACTTCACGCCGGTGTTGCCGCCGAAGCTACCCGTTCGCCACGTTGTGCATGTGAGCTTGTTTCTTCCTCAGTCTTTCATTCAGACCACCAACTCTCAATAGAAAGCCGCGCTCCAGGTGGGATGCCTCTCGGCCCCAGAATCTGGCCTCTGTAAACCCTGCCTCCAAGTCACCAGCCCTGTAAGCATGCCTGCCAGGTAACCAACCGCGCACTCCGCTTCATCATCGCCAAGCATGACTCACTCTCCGCCATCCAGCCGGCTCCCAATCACCGACCGCCGCAACCCTCCCTAAGCGACCCCAAAGGGCCGCTAACATGTCGACAGAAGAGTCCTGAGACGAGCGTTCGGCCGCCAATGTGCAGGGTATCGAGAGACGCCTACGACAACAGCCTACACCATGCCCAATCCATCCACACATCGGCGCAACATCACCAACACTCGTCAGCCCAACATCAGGCAGCCTGTTCGCCATATATACCTGCCTCCTTCGCCGACGTTCTATCATCAGCTAAGACACGCACACATCAAGAAAACGGGAATAAGCCACGCGCCCTTGCGCCCTCATCCCACGCCCTTCGGCGAAGACCCTCCCTCCTCCCACTTCGATCAGCTTCTCTGGACACGTCCCGCCCATCTCACTGACACCGATCGAACCACCCACCACACATATATAAGCCAACTTCCCGAAACACCGCCACCATGGGTCTCTCACTTCACAACAGCGCCGATGCACTAAATCTTCTCTCCCAAGGCCCCTCGCAGGTCACCCACCCGCGCACCCGCGCGCACTACAAAGGCGCATTCCTCCGCGCCGACGGCTCTCTGTCATTGAACAGAGAATACGCCGACCAACGATTCCACCTCCTAGATCTCGTCCTCCACGCCAACCACCAGCGACGAGCCCAAAGACACCGGACCCGCCGGCGTCAGCAGACCAACCGCTCCATCCAGCAATGGCGCTCTGACCAGACGGAGGAAGGCCGAGAACTCGCGGCCCTCGACGGGGTGAGAGTTCCGGGCGAGGCCCCACAACGGCGGCGTACCCCGTCCCTGGAGCGGCAGGGCGCTTTCCGGCTCCCCGGCACGACCAGGAGTCGAATCCAGCAAGACGAAGAAGGCCTCGACGAACTATATCGCCTGGGTCTCCTTTACGACGATGAGCATCTCCGCGGCGAGGGCTTCGAGTTGGGCTCCATCGCGCACCCTGAACCTGAGTACACCGTCCGCCCCGCCAAGCGGGCGCGCGGGAGTCAGGCCCAACGGCGCTCATACGAAGATGACTTGCAGCTGGCGTTGGATCTTTCGCTGGCCGAGCTGGGCCGCGACGAGTCTTTCGCTCGTTATCTTTGTTCGCCTGATCTGGACGAGCCCCCGTTCGAAGATGACGACTCGTCTCATTTCACGTCTTCGCAATTTGATTCCGGGCTCCTGAGCCCTCCCGATTCCGACACCGAGGATACTCCCGATCTGACAACTGATTCCGAGTCCGATCGCCTTTCGTTTTCTTCCTCTACTTCTTTTTCTGAGCATCAGCACTGGGCGATGACGCGTCCAAGGAGTAGGAGAGGACGTGCTGCTGACAACCACGGCGTCTCCGACAATGCCTGGATGGTGCTGGGTGACGGCTCGTAGCAGGTCCGCATAAGAGATCCCCGCGCGCCATTCGGATCTCGACTGTGTTTTTGTGGTCGGGTAACGCCCCAAACGGACTGGTCCTCATTAGCCCAGCATTTCCGGGTGTCGGAGCGCGTGTTTCTCAATTTCCATTCCTGTTATTCTTTTCGTGGGGACGGTCGTGTGCTCGTGATTAGGATAAGACCACTGAGCTCGCCGTCAATCATGTACGATTATTTCTCCTAGGGCGCATTTACACGGGGCGTTATATGCAACACATTAAATGAGAATTAAATGAACTAGACTCAAACTGCTACCTGCGAGAACGGTCGGATTGTGACAGACTTCAAGCCGTACTTCTGCCTCGCGTACTGCTCATAGTATTGCGGTTGAAATGCTCTCATCCGGTTGATGAGAGATGTTGCCGCCTCTATCTCGAGGGTATTGGTGCCATTTCGCAGCCACTTGCTGACGTCGAAGCTATGAGCCATTTGATCGAGAGTACCTAGTGCTTCCCCATTGATCCTAGCCCTAAAAGACCCCTGGAACATGTCGAGCTCCATGTATGCACCCGCATCAGAACCATACGGTGCTTCTGCAGTTCCAAGAACGAACTCTGTCGAGTACGTCGCATTCCCAGAGACGTTCTGTAATCCATCTATGTCTGACCATGGACTCAGTGACGTGAGGTTGAAGCTGTGGTAAACCAACTTGGTCGCTACGATATCCTCCACGTCGTCTGAAGGGTTCTCGTTTGCTGGTTGCCAGTCATCAACCTCCAAGGCCCAATCGGTGAGCTCCAATACAGGCATGGGAGCTTTGGAGGATGTTGTTAGCTGGGAACCATTGCTGAGTACGATCCTGTAATCTCCAGCTTCACCATTTCGAACAAAAAGCTGCCCGGTTGTGCTGTTGCGGAAGATGGAGTCGGCAGTGGAGTTCGCTACATGTACGACATCGGCCGACGATGGAGCGACGATGAGCATCTTTGACTGTTGTGGCTCGAGCGATATCCCAATGTTGAGCCGGCCGTCCATAATGGTGTATTGACCAACCAGACTGATTTCGCCAGACCAAGCGTCAAGCTCAAGCGGCGCCACGTAATCGTGACGGATCGGAAGCGACACGTCTTGGCTCACACCTGTTGATGACGAGTTGGCAGTGAAGAAATACAGATCGAAGTCGCCATGCTCGCGGCGGATGTGAATCAGCGGGGATGCTGAGTGCATGACAGCTGGGGTTAATCCGAGTTTCGCGAGTCCAGTAGGGATGCTGCTCAAGTCAGCCACGTTGACGACATTGCTCAATGATAGAAGATGCTCGATGTCGGTAGCGACATCAGCAGAACTATCTTCAGACAGACCCAGAGAACCTGGTGAGGTCCAGTTGCCAAGAATAAGCATCGGCAGTCCGGCATCGGCCAGGTCTCTCAGCTTGCTGGCTGATGCAGGCGTGAGTTGGGCCTGTCCTGCATCAGGGTCTTCTGCCACAACAAGCAAGCTGTAATTCCCTGCGTTAGGTGCAAGGCGTCTGTCTATTACAACAGCCGATGGTAGATGCAGCAAGTATTCGTCGACGTACGTTGTCGTCCATCCAATCCGAGCACCCTCGCTGGTGAAGTATGGACCGACGTAGTGGTCGTCAGAAGCCCCATTCTGTCGGAAGAACGCGCAATCGTACTTCGGTATGCCTTGTGAGGTGAATAAGGATGCCCGACCCATGTAGGCCGTGAAGTCAGGCACATGCATCCAAGTTGGAGTACGTGGGCCCCAGGACTCGGAGTATCCGATGCGGCCTTTGTACGGAGTGAAGGCTCCCCAGCCAGGCCACGTCGTTTCCGGACCGTAGATGTATGAGAAACCGTGGAGAACATTGTGAGTCAGACCAGCAGCGAATTGGGGATTGACGGTGCCCAGAATTTTGGTCCATGTAGTTGTGTATGCAGCCTTGTTGTAAGCGCCCAGCTCGCTTGACATTATGTTGACGCCAGCGAAGCTAATTGCCCCAGCCAAGACGCGGTAATCGTCAATGATTTGGAACCCGAGAGACTCGCCTTCTGGAATGTCCAGCGCTGTGGCGATTCTCATGCTGTCCAACTTGGCGATGCCGTAGGGTTGCGCCCTGTATTTCATGCCGCGAGAGTTCAGCCACTTCCGGAGGGGCGCAATATGATAATCAGCGTAGAGATCGGTGATGGTTTCGTGATAGTCGTGAAGAGATCCTCGTTGCACCTCCAAGTCGTTGAACAGGAAGAGGTAAGCATTGTTCTTGTACTGCGTGATGACGGGGAGGATGTCCATGACGCTGTACCCCCGACGAGACAGGAACTCGTCGGCAAAGTTGGGCGTCCAGTACGTAGCAGAGACCATCTCCTGGGAATCCTCAAACAGCGATGTGGGTGTCTGGGCTATGAGTTCAAGCATCTCAGGTGTCAGGATTTGATCTTCCCAAAAGTCAATGACGGCCTGAGCGCCAGCTTTGCTGAAGTGATCGACGACGTAGGAGGTTGGTATTGTGTGCGGATAGTCCTCGGGCTGTTGCCCTGTGCCGCGAATGACGGCCGAGAACAGCAACCATGAGGAGTTGTCTGGAGGTGAGAATGCGACTTTTCCATCTGCCACCGTATCGGTCAAGTCGACCATTGATCCGTAGTCCAGGTACACTGGGTTGCCGTATGGATCGGAATCTTGACTGATGCGCCAAGCCTGAACGGCAACCAACTTCTGCTCGTTGACGCCATCCTTTCGCTTGGAGAAAGGACCCGGAACGGAACCATTGTAGGTAGTCGTGGTATTAATAATGCTTTTGCCAAGGACAATCTCCTTAGCTGAGGCTTCATCGTCAGGGACAATGGTCGGAACTGCCATTGGCCAGGCGGGCCCAAAGGCAAAGTCATGGCCCATGCCACGCGAGTTGGCTTCGGTAAGTGCAACCTTGACAGCGTCTAGCCAAGGTTCAGAAGCCCAGCCGTTGGTGTCAGTGTGCCACTCTGTGCCTTCACTGGTGCTATGGTGGACATCCTCGATTTCGACGCCGCCAAAGCCAGCTTCGGCCATCTGGATGACCTCGGCCCGGATCTCATCGTTTTCAACGGCGCCATGGGGCCACCACCATCGGCCGTAGGGCCGAAAAAGAGTTGGCGGGGAGCGGAAGTTGTCGAGGAAGTCTGCCGCCACACCTGAAGCATTCCAAGATGCGAAGAATGGTTCAATGAACGACTTCTATGCGTTAACTCATAGAAAGACATGTTGGAGGGCATATACCAACCATACTAATGTTTCTTCTCCGTAAGGTTTGGCTGATTGGAGATCTTAGCAATACCAGGTCAACACGGCGCAATTTGATCCATCTCCCCTGACGGGTCTTTCTCTCTACATGTAAACTAAGAAGGCATTTGTTGATAAGAGATCGCCATGCAACAGAGATACATGAAGACTTGCGGGTACCATCTCTCGCACCCTGTTATACCGTGTAGTCTTGGGTGTATGAAGCCAGCCAAGAAATGCATTTCCCATCTTGGACAGCGGCTACCACATGGTGCACCAAACCGTATTGTCCCTCCTCAATTGATCTACTGCTTCATGACGAACGGAGAAAATAGTCTCGGCTCCGTGGCAGATTTGACAACGAGACCCCGCAATCTCATCCCGGATGGCTCCGGTTGATCATGCACGGAAGGTTGCAATGAAGGATCTCTCCGCACGAGAGCTATCTAGTGGTGGCGTTTAAGCAATGCTCAGGCAACGATCACTCAGTACAAACAGAAACTAAATCTTTTTCGCATCCGATACTGGTTTTTTCGCGGAAAATATGTAGAGACGCGGTAATGATAACCCGAGTAACGTCATGTTTAGGACGCCCATTGCAGACTAGTCGTTATGAAGCAACAGATTAGTCCCCATATCCATCTTCTAATCGCGGCCCTTTGAGCTTTCATGGTCCCTGGTTTCATCCGAAATCATTCTTTCGTGCCTGATTACAATGCATTTGTCGATATTCGCGTTGGGCTTGCTCTCCTTTTTCGGAGGTGCCCAGGCAGCCGATAATGATGCTTGGCCGATCAAGCAAACTCCCTACACTGATGCCGTACAATGGGATCACTACAGCTTCATCATCAAGGGACAGAGAAAGTTTCTCTTCGGTGGTGAGATGCATCCCTTTCGAATCCCCGTGCCACAACTATGGGAAGACGTTATCGAGAAGATGAAGGCTATGGGTATGAATTCCATGTCGTTCTACTCACACTGGGGCTATCATGAGCCACTTGACGGCGAGTTGGACTTTTCCAGTGGTGCTCATGATCTCGGGCTCCTGTTGGAGTACTCCAAGAAGCATGGCATTTTCGTCACGCCTCGGCCTGGTCCATACATCAACGGCGAGCTCAACGCAGGAGGTTTCCCACTGTGGATTACGACCGGTGCTTACGGTAAGCTTCGATCGAATGGTACGAGCTACACCGATGCGTGGAACGGCTACATGTCATCCGTAGCTGAGTTGGTCTCCCCGTACCAGATTCACAAGAACGGAACTGTAATCAACTTTCAGATAGAGAATGAGTACCCCCAGCAGTGGACAAACCAGAACGAGAAAATACCGAACTACAATTCTGTCGACTATATGGAAGACCTCAAGGCGGTCGCAGTCAACAACGGCATCGAGATTCCACTAACTCACAATGACATATCTGGATACGTTTCATGGGCTTCGGACTACGACACAGTTAGTGCGGGCGGAAACGTCGACGTGCATGGGTACGATTCTTACGTAGGTCATCTGTCAGAGCAAATCCCTGAAGAATAGTAACACTAACACAAGTGATAGCCCCTTTGCTGGAGCTGCAACCCAGATCAATGCAGCTCCGGCAGCTCCGGGAACTGGGTTCTTCTAGACTATCAGCCAGACTTCCAAAGGTCTTCACCAAGCAATCCATGGTTTAGCCCAGAATTCCAGGGCGGGAAAGTGGTGCCCATTGCTGGATATCCGGATGGCTGCGCAGACACAGTTGGTGCCGACTTTCGCAACCTCTACTACCGCCACAACATTGATCAACGAATGACGGCTTTCATCCTCTACATGACCTATGGAGGCACAAGTTGGGGCTGGCTTGGCGTTCCGTTCCTCGGCACTAGCTATGACTACTCTGCACCCATCGCTGAGGATCGGTCTCTTAGGGACAGCTTCTACGAGATCAAAAACCTGGCGCTGTTCACAAGGGTTGCTCAGGATCTGGCCAAGACAGACCGCATCGGTAGCGGCAGCAATTACACAACGAACCCATCCGTCTCTGCGACTGAGCTTCACAACCCGGACACAGATGCGAGATTCTATGTTGTTCGACACACGGACTCGAGAAGCGACGAGCCTGTCACCTTCCAGCTTCACGTCAACACTTCGGCTGGCCCCCTCACTGTCCCACAGATCGCGCCAGCGACGTCCCTGAAGGGCCATGTTGCCAAGATCCTGGTGACAGATTTTCCAATTGGTCAGGACAAGCTACTTTACTCCACAGCTGAAGTATTCACGTACGCCGTAATGGACGGAAAGCCAACACTGGTGCTTTGGGTTCACCCTGATGAGTCAGGGGAGGTCTGTTTTACCGGGTCTCACAAGGGGCAGCTGAAGACTTGTGCTGGTTGCAGCGATGTTCAGTTCAACGTTACTGAGCACGGCACCATACTGAAGTTCACTCAGGGCCCTGGACTTAGTGTCGCCTTCGTTGGAGACACAAGGGTTATCATGGTGGATCGATCTGGTGCCTATGGGATGTTCGCACCGACTCTGACTAACGATCCTTTGACTCCGGTCAATGAGACTGGTAAGGTTCTCCCCTTGAAACATTCGTACCCGAGCTCAACTAACTCTGACAGTCTTGGTACACGGCTCCTCTCTCATCCGCGGAGCACAAATCAGCTCAGATGTGATCGCGATCACCGGAGACACGGTTGAAGATGCTCAGCTTGAGGTGTTCGCCCCTTCCAACGTCAAGAAAGCTACTTGGAATGGCAAACCAGTCGACACGAAACCAACACCACACGGCAGTCTCATTGGGAGAATTTCGGGACCACCGAAGATAGAGCTACCGAGCCTGGGCCCCTGGAAAGTTCAAGATTCTCTGCCCGAAGTCCTTGTCGATTATTCCGATGACGGGGTAGCCTGGGTCAATGCTAATCATCAATCCACGAAGAACTCAAAGAACGACGCTACCATTCCGTACCTCTACGCTGACGACTATGGATTCCATACTGGATCATTCATTTACCGTGGCAGATTTACTGGCATTGCTGATGGAGTATCACTTACCCTTTACGGTGGTCAAGCCTTCGGATTTTCAGTGTACTTGAACGGGCGGTTCTTGGAGGCATTCCCAGGAAGTCCAGGAACAAAGACGGCCTCCGGATCACTGCTTCTAGACTTCCCAGAAAACGCGTTGTCGCAGAACATAACCAATGTGCTCACTGTCATACAAGACAACTCCGGCCACGACCAAGGAGCCGGAGGGGCTTTGTCAATCCGGGGGATCCTCAACGCAACGCTGGTTGGCTCTGAGGGCTTCGACTCTTGGAAGCTGACTGGAACTGCCGGTCGCTCAAAAGGCAAGATTCTCGACCCCGTCCGCGGTGCTTACAACGAGGGAGGGTGGACTGCTGAACGGCTTGGCTGGCATCTTCCAGGCTTCGACGACTCGAATTGGCCGACGGCGTCTCCATCGGAAGGTTTCGACAACGCCACAGTCCGTTTGTACCGTACGATTGTGCCTTTGAGCATTCCTACCGGTGTTGATCTTTCGGTTCAATTCGAGTTGAGCACTCCTGGGGGCAACAGCACGGCACGAGCCCTGTTGTTCGTCAATGGGTACCAATATGGCCGCTTCTCACCGTACGTCAACTCGGCCACCAGATTCCCGGTACACCCCGGCATCCTGAACTTTAACGGAGATAATGTGATTGGGGTCTTGGTCTGGGCGCAATCTTCAAATGGAACCAGTGTTGGAGTCAATTGGAATATCACAGAGGTCCGAACTAGCTCCTTTGACACTCACTTCGACACTAAAGACTTGCAGCCAACGTGGGGGGAGGAGAGGCTACTCTATGCTTAGAACTTACCCATCTTACTTCGAATGCAAGTGGCCAACAGGGTGATCAGTTAGCATGGTTGTCGGGGTAGATTCAAGAGCGAAATGTATACCAGCAGCTCGTTTAGTAGAGTATGGGAGAGTATGATACACTCCAAAGCAGTGGGCCTTAGTCTTTTCCTTCAATCATGGACCAAACCCCCAACCTCCATAGTTTGGATCCAATCTCCATTTCAGACAGTTGTTCTCAGCTGTGCCTCCACGCTTGACAGACCCAGCTCCTTCGCAGTTACAGCTGTCCACCAAGACCTTCAAATATCGCTCACACTCAGTCTGAGCTACATTCCACTCGCACCCGCTCTTTGCCTCGATGGCTAGCACGACATATGTCCTCCGCCCCTCTGCTGCACTCTCAGTATCTCTCAGAGATTGTTCCACCATGCTGCCAGCCTTCAACGTAGTCCCATCCAGCGGTTTGCAGAACCTCTCAATGATGCCGACTAGAGATGCTCTATCCGTCTTGTGGCCACTGTTGTAGCATTTCCTCGTATTGGTAGAAGGACTTGGGCGGGCTGGCTCAGGAGTAGACGGTGGGCTCGCGCCACCATCGCCGCCGCCGTCTCCATCTCCGCCTCCAGACCCGCCATCACCGCCATCACCGCCATCACCGCCATCACCTCCACCACCTCCACCACCGTCACCGCCGTTATTGCCGTCGCCACCACTTCCTCCTCCATTATTACCTCCTGAACCTGCACCGTTACCTGTTTCGGGAACAAAGATACACACCCCATCTTCATCCTCGTCCTCTTCGTCATCCTCATCTTTCTCTTCGTCTTCTGGCTCATCCTCTCCACCGCTACTGCCGCCAGTATTATCTGTTCCCGGCGGACAGGACAGGGCTGGAAATGCGCACTCATTTGTCAATGGCGATGGAGGACCCCACACTACCGTTATGGGGGGCGGAAACTTGATAACTATCGGCGGAGGCGGTGGAATTGGAATGGTGGATGGTGGAGGGGGATGAGGCGCGGTTGGTGTTGTAGTATGAATGCTATTTTTATCATCATAGTACTGGATTCAGATAGGACGTTAGCTCTGGGGAATCCACAGAATCCAAATGCTCTGAGTCAATCTAGGAGTTACTGACCGTGATCGGTGGCCACGTCTTCGTGGAACTGAGAATTGGTGGGAAGATCAAGATGATGCCGTCCGTCGTGGTTGATGCAGGCACAGGCGTTGTCACCACAACGGTGCTTAGAGCCCACTTAGTGACTGTAATCGGCGGTCTCGTGATAGTCGATACCCAAGTGTCACGAGTGACCATGATCCTCGGGAAGTCAATAGTCGAAGTCATGCTAGGCCAAGGCGGAAGCACGAGGGTGCAAGGTGGTACACATGATATCCGGGGCTGCGGCATGTCCCAGATTTCCTCGCCAATCCAAAGATATCCATGGCCGCTGTCGTCGGGAAGTGGTTCTTCGGGCGGTATGACGCACTTGTCTTTCAGAGACTCATCTCTGGAGCATGTACTCTCGGGACAAGCCCCGTTATTACAGCCAAAGCTGCACAGACCCAGAAATGTGCAGTCAAGCCCGGGGTTTGGGTACCCAGGCCCATGAGTAGGCTCCGGCATCTTATCTTCTGGCAGCGGCTCTCCGAGAAGTTGACAAGTGCATGGGCCAAGAGGACAGTAGTGATACATACAAGTGAAAAGACAGAGTCGGTTGTGTGCTTCATCGCCGAACCCTTTGACGCATACCTGCTCTTCTAAGGAAAGAGGTGGCGCTTTGGGCTGGATAGAGGTTGATGCTATTGCAGTTCCAACCCATGGGTTCCAATTCGTAAGGCCGTGCGGACAAGTTGATAAAATGGCCGGTCCATCTAGGCGTGTAAAGGCCTGGCCATTGCGGAGTAACCGGATCGATACAGTGCCCGTTCGACCCCAGAAAGGAACACTGCCATGGTAGATGCCAACGCCGCCAGGAGGTGTGCTGATCCACTCGAAGTTGGAGGTAGTTTCTCCACCGATCTGAAGTTCGATATCGGCCGGAGATGTGAGCATTGCGGAGAAAGATACTCTGTCCTGTGCAAGAGTCTCAGGTGGAACTTCTGCCTGCAGTTGGCTCCCAGTGTTGCCCTTAGTGCCACCACTTGCACAGGCCCGACTAGGACTCAAGCGGTACCAGGAGACCAGAGACTCCTCCGAGACAGTGGCCTTTCCACTCTTGTAGGTGTCGATGAGGTATGGAAGAAAACGACGCCAACCATCATGCGGGCGGTTCACTGCGTAGTTGAACGGCGCTTTGCCTTTCTCAGGACCGAATGCCACATATGCTTTGTCGTTGAGCGGTCCGATGTAGTGGGACTCCCCAAAGTCATTCCAGGAAATGATCTGGACATACTCCGGCCGGATTGTCCATACTTGGTTCCACCGGTCATACCACAGGTCATCGCCTCTCCAAAGCCAGTTTTTGCTGTACCCTGGAAGGTTAGTATAGAACCAGGGAGAGACAGGCATCATATACGTTTTCCCGTCAAGGAATTCGATGTACGAAGCATCAATACTAGTATCCATTGGATTAGGTCCTTCAGGCCAGGCTGCCCAACTAAATAGACCGTCGGCAACGCCTGGCCTCAATGCCCGCCTGGCTCCCCATGAAGACCAGGAGGGGATAAAGAAACAATTGGTTCGTTTCTTGATTTCAGGCCAGTCAGCATAGCTGGAAGGTCCCTCGAAGGTTGAAACCAGAGGTTGTGATCCGTGTAGGAAATAAACAGGTCGGGAGGCGTATTCCTCGAGGAGGTCGATCACAGCATCCTGTGGCCAAGGACCCTGTCCAGCGTAATCGAATGAGAAGAGAAGTTTGAAGCCTCGCCGACTTGCAGCATCAAACATAGGAGGCAAGGAGACATCATTCGTCTTCTCGCCATAGGCTATGTTGAGCACAAAGGCGTCAATATGGGCTTCTTGTGCAAGAGATATCTCATATTCGAAATCTGAAGCAGTGTAGAATTCCGTATTGCTGACCTGCCAAGTCGTATGTTAGCTCACTGCCGTTGCAACAAAGGGCAAAGAACGTTTCAGGGTTACCATAAAGTGAGCAAAAACAGCCCTTCCTCGAGCCATTCCCGAGAAGAACAAAATGAACGCAAATATGAGTAACGCCTCCATCGCGAAAACGGCGTATGGCCTGTCCGGCGTGTTCGGGCCAAGAATCGGTGCTTGCCACAGTACTCTTGAGGGACCGAGAGAACAAAGTTAGAGGGCAGACAAACAGACAGACAGACAGATAGACAGTGGGAAGACAGTCCCGTCTAAAACTATCTCTGTGTCAAACAATTCCGTCAGCTGTGCCACATATCGTCTGCCTGGTAACTTAATCGCTCATGATGTGATTACTGCCTCGGTGACGATGAACTCTAGCCAGGCCTTTGCCAAAATTGGACCTCATGACTCTTTGACACTATCCCCTTGCCCGATATTAAAATTACGCCGAAGAGCCAAGACCTCAAGCTAGATGCTTTAGTCGTGGCATTGGTCGGGTGATGCTGGAAAGCATTCCAACGATGCAGCGCGGAAATCACTCCCAAACGAACAAGGCGCCGAGGATTTAGACAGCGCCCCCATAATATGCCCGCAGAACTAGACCTAGACAGTTTTGGAGATTTTGAAGTTGTTGATAGGGCCGGATATCAGTATTCGAATGCATGCGCATGACCCCAGCGGTCCTGTGATTCCGCCAAGGACGGGTTGCGTTGCAGGTCTGCAGGTGTTGCTGCGCCGCGGCGGTGATGTACGCTGAAAGTTTGAATGACACGATCACCGAACCTTCCCTGTTTAAGCCATGGCCGTGGTTCCAGACCGATAGCGCAGTAGAGCTTATGCCGTTGGTTGGAACAGCTGCCAAGCCCAAGTTGTGTTGGTGGTTGAACTGGTGCCTAAATTCTGTGATGTTGGTTGATAGATAAGTGCCAAGACACTTGTGTTGGTCCTGAGTGGTAGAGCAAGTGGACCTGATATCAGGGAAACCTTATGCGCCTGGTATCCTTTTCAACAAATCTAGGCGCCAGTGGCGGCTTGTGATTTCGGCGTCTTTCCGTCCACCACGTCCAGCTGAAGGCTGCTTCTTGCACCCTCCCTCCGCCACTTTAGTCTTGCAAAGATTTCCCTAGGGGTTTCACAATGTGATCAAACGTTTGTGGGGCTGTAGAAATGGAAAGGGGATTTGGCAACGAGGAAGAGTCTCCCAGAATGAAGACGCTTTCGATCGAGGGACGGTACGGGAATCAACGTATTGCAACTTGAATGTACCTCGATTACGGACAATATTAATATGCAGATTGTATTGATGTATTGATGTCTCTTAAATTCAAAGTCCTACGATCTAATATTCTGATAACCTCAGCAGCTGTGACCGTGTTCATCCTCACATAAATGACCCTTCGAGATTGCTGATCGTGCAATCACGGAAGGATCATCGTGCTGTTGATGTTATCAGAGCACTGGCCGAAGTCATTTTGACTAGTTCCAAAGAATATCAGGTCAGCTCGATAGCTCTTGAATAATCATCATATCCACGACCAAATTTGGTCTGAATTCATGAGGTTTACTTCGAAGACATGAACTTACCAGCCGGTTCCACAATGTTCCTCAAGAACGCCACAGATTCCACGAGAACTGCAACATGTGCCAAAAACAATATCGCAAGTATAGCCAAACGCTCCACCACAAGTCCCATCAGGTGTTGTGCCAGTAATCCATGGCAGAGGCGACGACACTGGAGGCGGAGTAACGGCGTCGATGGCGCAGTTGCCAGACTGGCACACGCCGCTGCTGCAGAAGTCTGTCCCATTTCCACACAACCCGTCATTGTTGCAACATTCTCCCCATTTGCCGGTGCACTTGAGGTCGTCATTGTTGGTCCCGCACTTGCCGTCTGTTGAGTACCCAAGTTCGTCACACGTCCCGAAGCTGTTATGGCATGTTCCAGGCCGGCAATCTTCACTGAAACTTGAGTTAGATTCCGAAAACTAACAGGGCCGGAGTCTTCTACCTAGTATCACCACATTTCCAGGTCTCTGAGTTGCAGCAAGGAGTGTCAGTGAAGTGGCATGTGGTATTATCGTGAGAGCTCCCGCAGAAACCGTCCTCGGTAACCAGTGGCATAACGTCTGTAAAACAAAAACATCAGATTTCAAAAATGTCAAAAGGTTGGAATGGAGAACTTACATCCCCTGACACAATAGGTGGTGTTTGGTTTGATTGTTTCACAGTCACGATCAAGGTCTGGATTCAACAAAAAGAATTTCTCGACCGAAATTGAATATTGCAAAGAAATTTCCGTGCAAGTGTAGTAATTGACAGTTGAGCTGGTCGTTGCGTCGTAGCGGCAGACAATATCCCCGGCTGCTTCGACATCACGCTTCCAAGTCCAAGGCTGGCACTCGTCAGCGGCCAAAGACAGCTTGCTTGTCAACAAAGCTAGGAAGAAGAACGTTGAGTGCATCATTGGATTTCGAAAGAAAGATGCTAGTGCCGCAAAAGAGGGGAGACGGAGATGTGGATGGAAGGACGTTGATCGTGACAAGTAGTCCGAGACACTTGCCGAATGGGATGCTCGTCTTCTGGACTTTTCTCGTGAGATTCCCTGAATATCACTAAAGTCTTGGCACGTCGACGCTTGTCTGTTCACATGCAGGGGTCAAGTGCAGGAGGTGGAACTCAATACTCTACACGAAGATTCACAGAACCAACAAGGCTTGGCAGCAAGGACGAGTCCAGGGGCCAGCCAAGCACATAATCCCAGAATATATCGCGCGGCACAGCAGGAACTACCTCGGAGATTGCATTTAGGTAAAATCTTCAGGCATTTCACTCGAGAAGTCAGCTGATGGATATGTTGCGAGATTTTTCTGAATCAGGCAACGCATTGCACATCGCGCTAAGCGCCATTCTTGTCTTCGCCGCAAGATGTCACCTCCCTCTTCCGGATACTGGTCTCGCCAAGACATGCGTAGCCAAATTCTAATCTCACATCTTACATGCTTGCAGAGGGTAGCGTAAGAACATTTGTTCAGGCAGATCTCTGCCCACGCCAGGGTCGTAGATGTGTTGGTGCTCATGGTGCTCTTGAGCCGAAAGCCCGCGGGTATTAGTGAGCGGCCGCAGGTCCTTGCGATATTCATTTAGTAGTTAACAGAGACGGGTTGGAAACATCAAATACAAACCCATTTTCTCCGTCTTTTATCTCTTTAATCCTTTTCTGATCTTGCCAGCTTCGCCCTCAGACTTGTAAAGGCATCAATGATGTCGGCCCTCAATTTGCCAAGACTGGCCGAGGGTCGGCGTGGAGCAAATCCGTCAGCTCTATTTCGTTTCGTTGTCTCGTTTTTCATCCTCAACTGGTTTTTTCAGGGAGTAGCATCTCAGTACAATCAGCATTGGGGCTGGCAGACAGTCAACGGTGAGCAAGTACCTACTTGGACGCCGCAACCCGGGACCATCCCACCAAGACCTATCTTTATCCCAACCGGAGAAACACTCTTCCTGGAGTACAACTGCTACTACATGCCTTCGATTTGCCAAAACGCGAGGACCTATCTCATAAGCGCTACTGGAAGCGCCAGACGGTGGCGTACCGCATTCGCGTACGACTTCAATGTTGGCCGTGGCCATGATCGCAGAGGCACGGTCTGCAACGGCACATGGTCCAACAACCACGCGTGTCCCGAGAGGGCTGGCCCAGGCAACATCGCTCAACACCTGCCTAGATATAGCGGTGGCGTTTGGCCGGAGGTGGATGTTTTGCCAGCAGCACCCAACCTCCAGCTGTACACCATCCAGGGCTACACAGACGCGAACGGACAGCACCACGATTCGAATCTGGCGTATACTTGCGACGAATGGCCGGCGGCACCATGGGTCGAGGGCGGTTCTGGCCTGCCTAGATATGGCGGCACGCAAGCCTACACGCGCTGTGCCCCCCAGAAGACTTGCGCTGGTTTGAAGTCGGAACAAGACTGGCAAGGATCGAGCCACAACAAATTGCGAGGGCGTCTCAAAAGCCGAATCCGGAGAAAGCATTCTTCAACATTCGTCCCGAACGATGACGCTGGCCTCTTCTTCTTTCGCATGGTGAACACGGCGAACGGTGTGGCGGCGAGAATGGTGCATGTTGACGACAATGGAGCGGAGACCGAGAACACACAGCCGGCAACACGGAACTCAATAAGCTCCCTTGTAGATTATATGGACTGGGCTGACTCGGTTGATCTAAGTCGTCTTTCTTCGCGTTACGTCGCAAACGAAGAGATTATTAGTATTCATGGCGAATGAGTATTACAAGATCGTTGGACCAGGCAGTGCTTGGCGTGAACGAGGTAGAATGCAGCGTTGGTACCGCAACATCTGCAGGATAAAGATATCGCTACTTGTTTACATGCTTCATTTTACGAAAAAAGGAAATCTCATTTTATGCACTTATTCATGTCATGTCATTCGTTCAAAAAGAGTGAATGAAGGCCACCTCATAGGGCAAGCTGGAACCCAGGTCTGTCGGGGCCCCGAACAGGGATACCCATGTGCGATATATTGGGCCACTGCCAAGATCGGACACGGGTGCATGTACTCTGTAGCCAGGTAAACATTGCATTAAAGAACGGCCCTCCCTCACCTCTCACCTCTTGCAGCTGAAATGTACATTTCCTCTTTTACTAGCACAGTCTATCTCTCCCGTACGACCTCATTTCTACATTCTCACAATGTCAGACGCTTCTACCGACCCCACATCGTTGGTCGCGCCGTTGTACCCCCCGTTGGAAACATTCATCGACCGCCAGAATCCTCAGCCAATTTCTCTCAACCTGGCATTCAACCGGTTCCGATGGCCTGCCTTTGCTCCTCTCCATGAGATCAAAGTTCTTCGCGACCCATCGAATGCGGAATCGGTGCAGGACCCGTACCAAGTCCAGTCTGAAGACGGTACTTCCTCGTTACACCCTATTGCCAGCGAGTTGTACACCAATCCTCCCATATCCTCGTTGAAGGCTTCAATCGACATTCTCGACCATTACGGCAGTCGAGATGCATGGGAAGATCTTCACACGGTGGACCGCCCAGAAGATGACACTGAGGTCCCATGCGAATGCTGTGATCGGATGCCGTATCGACCACCAGAATCACTCGTTATCCGTGCTACCTCTGATGCTGGCGTGACCATCGGAGATATCGTCTCGCAGGTAAACAAGTACATGAATGACTTGCGAGAGGATGTCCTCGAGGCCTTGGATGCTGTTGGAGAGTATGCCGGTCAGAGAAGCCCGAATCACTCATTCTGGGTTGACTTCTGCGTCAACAACATCGGTATCGAAGAAGCACGGTCTCCGGAAGAATTGAGAAAGGCTTGGAAAGATCGTGCAGATTCTATGCGGGGCTTTCCTCCGGGGCAGAGGTATCAAGAGATGAAAAACCCTCTAGAAGGATAACTGACTGCGTCCTTTAAACTACACACCAGTACGCCAAGATAGAGGAAGCACAGTGCTCAGCAAGATAGGGCCACAGAAGAAAAGATTACTATTCAACAAGTCAAAGTATCAAGCTGTGCGTTTTGAAGATGAACGGTTGAACTTGGACACCCATAAATACGTCACTAGTACCGTGGACTTCTGACACCAAAAAGCTTTCTTTTCCACAAGGTTAAAGAGAATGAAATCTTTTCCCAAGACAGCCTCAAGTGGCCCTTGCCAGCAGCATAGCCAATGCCACAATCGTCAAGGACCAAGCTACATGATACTGCATACGCGTAGCGTCATTCTCTTCGCCCCCTCCGTTTTCGTCCTGATCCACCGGCAGCTGGGTAGTGTTTGCCCACAATGAAGCTGAGTTTCTCCAAGGCTGCTGTTTCCGAATCCATGACTGATCATGAGAAGTTGAAGAGAATTCGCTGCCGCCAAGTATATATCCGTGGCATTAGCCCCAGGGATCACTCCGCTATGAACTCCCATGAATGCCTTCCCACTAGTTATGCCAAACGTTCTGTTGCGTTCAGCTGACGAATTGGCATTTGGCGAATTGAAAGGATCCGGGTTGAGGTTTGCTGTTGCGACACCGCCGCCAAAGGTGCGGTTGAACAACTTATCATCTAGGCGTTCTCTCACGGTATAGCCGAGGGTATTGTTGCACTCGGGAAGCGTACCCCACGACGTCCTTGGCGAGTTGCATCTTATTCCTCTGCTGAAGTTGCTGCCTTCTCTGAGAATTGCCCGCACGCATGCTTCTCCTAATATTGGCGTGCAGTCAGTGTTATTGGCATTTTCATCCGTGTAAAGGTTGGTGACGTTTGCTGGGTATGCGACGATGTCCAATATGGACACGCAAAGTGGTCCTGTTGAGTTGCCCAAGGCCTGCGGGATATTGCCACCACTGGACCACGCAAAGTCCCAGGTTGTGCTGACGTAGGAAGGGTTTTCGACGGGTTGCTCGGCCCCAGTTACCGCATCAGTAACGTTGATTCCCGAGGGAAAGGCGAACTCCGTCACGTTAACTCCTGTTGGCTTTTTCAGTATTACCTTCGTGTTCAACTCTCAGTGCAACTTACTCCAAGTCCAGTACGGGTCTTTTCCGTAGACCTTGGGGCTTATGAGACCTGAGAATGGGACGAACTTGACGGATCGCATAGCTTTCGGGTTGGTAATGGCTTCCCGGTAGATCTCATCTGACTGATTGTTGTTAAAGGACCGGTCGTTCCCGAACGGTCCCATGTCAAGTCCCCTCCCAGTCCAAAACCGTTCTGCAGCTGCAGTTGCTTGAACAGCGATGAGAATAGACAAACAGTGTGGCTTCATCGTGCGTTTGTGTAGGACTCGTAACAGAGCCTCGATGACAGAATTATACAATAGACAAAGCTTACACTTTGGTATTGCTTGAAAGTGCGAACGAAAGTCTTTTTCTATAGGAAGAGGTTATGTTCAACTTTTACTTCGTTGGGGAAAGAATTGGGCGATCATGTCGGTCTCAAATCCGAAGGCATGGTGGACGGGTGCATTACATGGCTACGTCTGCCAACTCTCTTTGTCTCACTCATGGCACAGGTTCTCGGCATCTAAGGCCGCCTAGGCAGGACGAATCAAGGCAACATATCTTGAAATGATTGGACGCTGCAGTTGGGTGGTCAGCTTAGCCACCAAGCCACAGTCGCCCGAGGAAATGATGCATCATTTCTGATCATCCCGATTGGCAACCAAATAAGCTTGAAGTGTGTCGCGTCGAATGCTACAGGCGCAAGGCGCATTGTTGCCATGCACTTCCGAGTGAAACAAAAATAGCAGCCAAATTCGTTGGCTATGGTTTACCATATGTGCGCCACATCGGACTATGCATCAATCAGCCATTTGAAACTCTCATGCTCAAGTGAGGTTATTCGCAAATTTAATCTCAACAAAGACTTTGCCGCAATCGCAATAGCAGTTAACAAGGATGCAACAATCTTCAACCAGACGTCAGAACGCTTGCTTGTACTGATTTTCTTTTTGGTGTAAAGTGTCTGTGACTCTAGTGTAGTATTTGGGGCTTTCAAGGATCTCGTCTATTAGCGTCACTGTCCGTCCAGTAAGCGAAGAAGCTCATATAAATTCACTTGTATCTTGGCATCTTTCAATAATTAACGTCAGCGCATAATTAGTTTTCTCTTTCATCGATGCTGCTTTGGAGTTCTGAGAACAATGGTCATGACCCCGTTACGCTAACCCCGCAGCTAGAGTTGACGGCGGCGGGTGGCAAGGGCCAGGATGCGACGGGCGGCCGCGCCGCGAATACGCGAGTTTGGACGACGTCACAGACTTTCGGACCCCTCCGTCCGAGATCGACTTCATTTGCTACCTCCAGTCTATCAACATCTACGCAGCATGAGATATTGCTGGTCGTGAAAGTCATCGAGTTACTGGGAGCAAAGTAATAAGAAAGCAACAATCATGACTATTGACAACCGCTCATCGTCAACACCTCGAACCCTGAAGGTCGGCGATCGAGCGGCCTGGGCTGAGGCCCTCAAGACCGATCGACCCATCCTCATTCACCTCAACGCCGATACCACATGGCTCATTCAACTGCCATATCCTGACTCCGAATCAGCCCCCGACGGACGGAAGCGCTTCAACATACTTCTCGACCCTTGGCTGCAGGGTCCTCAGTCCGATGTGGCGTCTTGGTTCTCTACACAATGGCATCTCGTCGAGCCCAGCGTCAAGACCATGGCCGAGCTGAACTCATTGCTTGCCAGCCTCGAAAACGAATCTGATGGATCAGATGATGCTGAGAAATCTTACATCGATGTAGTCGCCATTTCCCACGAATTTACGGACCACTGCCATCAAGCGACACTAGAGGAGCTACCCAAATCTACACCTGTATTTGCAACCGACAAAGCAGCAGATTTAATCCGATCGTGGAATCATTTCGACTCCGTTACAACAACTCCAGCATTTTCTTCGTCAACCGAGGACTGGAGAGAAACTCTCAGCGTCGCTGGCTTGCCATCTTGGCTGGGTATCGGCCGCGTCGTTACCGCAGGCAACGCACTCTATTATCACTCAGCCGTCATGATCGCCTTTGACCTTGGAAAGCCAGAAACAATCCTCTACTCACCCCACGGCATTCAAGCTTCAGACTTGACTTCCATTCGGGAGTCAGGTTTCTCCACACTGGCCCTACTTCACGGTCTCCACGACGTGCGCATTTGGATGACGAAACAGCTGAATCTGGGAGCATTGAATGGCATTAAGGCCGTCGGAGAAACTGGTGCAAGATATTGGATAGCGACGCATGACGAAGTCAAGACAGGCGGCGGGCTTATTGCTCCTCTTCTCGTGAGGACGCGATATACGCTCAAAGAGGCTGTGGAGGCTGAAGAAGAGAAGCTAGGAGGCAACGGGCCTGACTATGAGTTTGTAGAGCTGGGCTCTGGGGATGGGTTGTTATTGTTGTAATTATCACAAGGTGCTCCGGCAGCTGTACACGCACACGCTCTCATTGGCGAGGCATTCCATTATCGTTGAAACCAAGCCATACTCCGCCGCCTCCACGGGGGCAACATAGGGCCAGTCCATAAGGTATATTTATGTTCAAACATTGATCTGGGCCAGCAGATCTGAACTGGGCATATTTCTTGAATTCAACATCCTGTGAAGCTTACAATTTTCAACGTGCACTTGCCACCGGAGTCCTTTCGATAGACTCTGGCGGCGCCCTGGCAAGGCAACACGAGGCAGGATAGGATCATCACTTGTGAGGGTGGAGGAAATGCAAGTCGAGGGGTCCGCACAGCTTCGGTAGTAAAGGGGCATTTGCAAGGCTTGCCGAATACCTGGCAAACACGTTGGTGCATCCAAACTTGCTGGCCAGTCAGATACGTAACCAGCAAGACTATGCAGAGTACGTGGGGATGAGTTCTCTTGGCACCAAAGGCCTGGCGCTACTCGTCAACCACCCAATCGTTTATCACAGTCTGCATTCCGAAAAGAAATGTTGTCCAGCCATATTCCTGGAACGAAATTCGCCATCTCATCTGGCCATTTTTTGACTTACCATTCCTCCGCCCCCACCCCCGGGTCCCCTGGAGGGACCAAGTCTTGGACTGGTTTGAATCCTTCCCAGCCGTTCCGGGATGGGGATCATAAGTACCGTGCAGGTCTGTTGGAGCGACAACAGATGCCGACTCGCGCAGGCGGCTAGGCATGCCAAGATCACCAACGCGCTCTAGCAATCGAAAATTCATGAAGTTCTTGGGCTCTCATTCAAAATATCATCTCACTTTCTCAACTTTCGCCCCCAGGTAGGGGTGCTGGTGTCAGTGCCGTCTTGGTGTATGGTCGTTGGGGGCCGATCTAGACAAGCTTAAATCAGCCTCATTTCCACAAGACTACTGGAAGGACCTCTTTAAGAATAAAAGACATCTTCTCGTCTTGTGCAGCCATAGGTCTACTCGCTCCTGAAAGATGTCGGTCAAAGGCTCAGAGCGTCGCTTCAGCGTCGTAAGTACTGTTGTCTAGGCATTCGGGCAAAAAGGGGCACTTGCTTGGGAAGCATGGAAGAACTTGCATCAGTGGCACAATCCTTTCTGATTGTCTGAGACCCAAATGAGGTGTCCGAGAGGGGACATTCAAGCGAATCTGCCCAGAATATCGGGAATGGTTTCCAGGGTTCTCGTCCAACCGTTGGAACTGTTGGAGCCAGCAAACGTCGTGATTTCGGGGGTGGAACCCTGCAAGGTGGGCATCAGGCTTCTTGCCCATTTGATCGCGCTCGAGGGGTGCGGCACAGCTCTCAAAACGTTGCGTTGAATCTTGGACCGTCATTGGCACCTTACCATACGCGAGATTCCCACGCTTAAATCAATGTCTGCTAAAAGTTTTCGCCCTCCTCCTCTACCAGACTTTGCGACATCAACTTGCGGAAACGGCGTGCCCTGTTTCGTTCAATCACTGGCCGTAGAGACAACAGACAACGAAGCATGCGAATAACGATGCGGCTTTTCCCTTTGGCCGCCGCTTGCGTATCGGCCACGACGCGCTTGGTCTACGACACCTACGAACCAGGCTACGGCCCAGACGGGCCATGGAACGAGATAGCTGTCTTTATCAATCAGCGTCTGGAGTCAACAAATTCCGCAGGACCAGTGGTCGCGGTGCGCATGTGGCCCACGGGAGGCTCACCGGTTGAGCTACTTTCAAAAGATGTCTCGGGTGTCTACAGTGGAGAGGCATCCAAAACTGCCGTCAAATACGATGGGGGTTTTCAGTACAGCCTTTTGAACCCATGGCCAACAGGATATACCGGGAAGAAAATGTGGTTCGACACGGTGAAGTTCCAACTTGAGGCAGACTCCAGCGGCCCGAATTTCATGGACATCAATACCACTATTCAAGAGGTTTCGGAGCTGGAGGAAACCTACACCGATCTTTTGTCCGTCGGCGAATATATGCCGATCCCGGTTGGCATCCTCGGTCTCGGACAGAAGATCAACTTTGACAGTGAAGCGGAGAGGAAGAAGCTCGGGTTTCCGCTGTGGATCATCGACCAGTTTGTTGAGAGCAATACGATTACAGCAAACTCGTGGTTCCTGCACCTGGGCGACAACAGGGCCGAGCAAACCTGCTCGTTTTCTCTTGGAGGCTACGAAAAGAATCGCGTACTGGGACGAGTGGGTACCTTCGACCTTGATTCATTATTCGGCATGCCCAAGGCATTTCTCATCGACGTTGCGGTCGGTGTCGAGTACGGAGGCTCTCCCTTCCTGTCCGATCGAACTCTGGGAAGTGTCTGGGACGCAGACAACATCACAATCAGCGACAAGGAGCTCGTGAAGCAGTACGGCGGTCCTTCGGACTCGCTCATGGTTCTCCCGGACGCAGCATTTCCGTACATCTGCTTGCCACGCCGCGTGTGCGATGCTGCGGCCCAATACCTCCCCGTCTATTACGACGCCGCCCTGGGCTTATATGTATGGAACACCGCCGACGAGCTCGACCAAGTCAATCGAATCATCAACGCGCCAGCGTACATGAGCTTTACCTTCTCCGACATGTCCGCTGAAAACATAACGATCAAAGTACCCTTCGCATCGCTGTTCCTCGAAGTCACGCCGCAGAGAAATGGTTCGGCAGAAGACGCGAGGTACTGGCCCTGTAAGCCTTGGGCAGATCCGTACAGCGAGGAAGACGATCCCAACCCCGGGGCAGCTCTTATCCCATTCCATTTCGGGAGAGCCTTTCTACAGGCTGCTTTCACTGGATACAACTACGACAGAAAACGGTTTTACATGGGACAGGCGCCTGGACCAGACGCCGGGCAGAGAGTGCTTGTGGATGACGATGCCGACAACATCAGCTCGAACCCCGCCGATTCATTTGCAGCCTCATGGCAGCGACTATGGACGGCGATCGAGTCGAACAACAGCACTAACGCGACTTCGGATGACGAGGAGGCTAACGGTAGCAAAAGCGCTGGGGATGGGACGACCGCCGGGCGCACAGCTGGGATCGTCGTCGGGGCCGTTGCCGGGATCTGCGGGGCAATCGGCGGAGGGTGGTGGTATTTCGGACGCCGTCGCCGACAAGAAAATGGACGGAACGCCGCTATTCATTCCGGAGACGAGTATCATGCGATCGGAGGCAAACCGGAGCTGGATGGAGAAGGCATCCCGATAGCTGAGCTACATCCTGAAACAGCGAAACGAGAGTCACAGGTGCTGGCGGAGCTGCACTCACCATCACATCGGAACGAGCTTGAGGTAGAGAGCATGGTGTACGAGATGCCCGCTGGCGATGTCTCGCCGAGCCCTAGAGAGCAGCCAGCAAGTCATGAGAAAGGGGATCAGTCACCTCAGAAGCCATGAGAGATATAGAATGAGCGCCGAAAAGACAATGCCAAACTTTTATTTTTCATCATAAACCTATGCGCCCCGGATATCCAGCTTAGTTGAAAACAACAGTCTTGGTCTTGTTGAGGAACACGCGGCCCTCGGCGGTCCACTTGACAGCAGCCGCCAAAACCTGGCTCTCAATGTTGGAGCCCTCCTCGACCAGGTCCTTCGGGCTCATGCCGTGGTCGACTCTCGCGATGCGCTGCTCGATAATCGGGCCCTCGTCCAGGTCGGCGGTGACGAAGTGGGCCGTGGCGCCGATGATCTTGACGCCGCGGTCGTAGGCCTGGTGGTAGGGCTTCGCGCCCTTGAAGGACGGCAGGAAGGAGTGGTGGATGTTGATGATCTTGCCGGACATGGCCTCGCACAGCTTGGGCGAGAGGACCTGCATGTAGCGCGCGAGCACAATCAGCTCAATGTCGTTGTCCTTGACGAGCTTGAGGATGGCCTCCTCCTGCGCGGCCTTGGTGTCCTTGGTGACGGGCAGGTGGTGGAAGTCGATGCCGTAGTTGCCGGCGAGGGTCTGGTAGTCCGGGTGGTTGGAGACGATGAGGGGCACGTCGATGGGCAGCTGGCCGGACTTTGCGCGGAAGAGCAGGTCGTTGAGGCAGTGGCCGATCTTGGAGACCATGATGAGGGTGCGCAGCTTGCGGGCGACGGGGCGGATGCGGTACCAGTCCAGCTGGAGCTCGGCGGCGAGGGCGTCGAACGGGGCCGTGAGGTGCTCCGTCGACTCCGTCTCGGTCGGGCCAAAATGCACGCGCATGAAGAACTTCTCCGAGACGGGGTCGGAGAACTGCTGGAGGTCCAGGATGTTGAGCTTCTGCGCCGCGAACACCCCGGTCACGGCGTGCACGATGCCGGACTTGTCCGGGCAGGACAGCGTGAAGATGTGGTCGTGCTTGGCGGAGGCCATGTTGAATGATGGTCGGGAGGGGGTTGAAGAGGTGGTTGTGGTTGGATTAGGTTGAGAGGTGAGAGGGAAGTTCCTGTGATCGCAATGCAAAATCTCAGCCGCCTCCAATGAGTTTTCTCTCCTGAAAGAATGAGTCAAACACTAAAAACGGCCGCGGGGCACCAGTTCCGTTCTGAGAGCCCCTCCCGAGCTCGGGGATGATTCGGAGACCCGCAAATAAGCCCATCTAGCTGCTACTGAAATGTGATGAGTGAAGGGAAGTGGGAGGCTTCATCTTGGTAAGCCTCAAGTGAGTGAGTCTCAAGAGAAAACATCGAGACATGAATGCGATTGAGTCAATGGGAAGAAAATCGACAAGATGTGTGTACCTGCATGTCTCACTGGGTTCAGGTGTGGTGACATCACCCCTCCTTCAGTGACGATCTCAGGGTGCCCCTCACTGTCTTATCGAGGGGCTGACCGTTGATGAGCTGGATGAAGGCCCAATCGATTCTACAGGACCAGAGGCTCGGTATTGGAAGTGGCGTTTTCCTTTTACTCAATCGATATTTCATGTAAACGGCTTATTCAATTGCAATTGTCATTGCTGGCTAAAACTTCCCTTTGAACATGGTCAATGGCCAAGTTGAAGGGCCGAGTCAGTCACACCGTCTGCATAAGATCAACAGCACACTTATGCAGTCTTCACAATTATAATACTCATGTTGATGGGTTGCGAACTATCAGGCTGGCGATGAGTACTCTACTCTAAACGATCTCTAGGTTTCATTATGTTTACTTTACGAAAGAAACATTTGGTCTGGTGGGCATTTCATAATGCCCGAGAGGGAGCTTTCTTCGTTAAGAATTCCTTCAAGAATTAAGTCCTTGAGGGGCTTGACCAGATGGTTAAAAAGGTTCGCAATATTGGTTATCTCGAGTTTAAAACTTTTTTTTCGCCTTCTGCATATCTACCTTTGGAGGACCAATAGGCCACAAGGGTTGGCAGAATCAATAAAACCACAGTCATGGGACACGCGCGCTGTCCTTTCGCCGTCCTTCCTCGTCGTCGTCCACCGTCGTCGTCCTTCGGTATCGTCCTTCGTTATCGTCAAGCTTCAATATCTGAGATTGGGTGATATCAGACTAGTACCTTCGTTCCACCAACATGGCATCCCTAATGTGGCTCAAGGCTTTGGACTTCAAGGCCCACATCCTCAAGGCCTTCATCTTGGTCGAGGATCTCGTGGGCTGGCACCCCGTCGGCCCCGACGGCGTCGCAACACCAGACCTATTCCCCTCCATCTGCCCGATGGAGGCTCCCGGGCTCGCCATCAACCACACGCCGCAGCAGGTCGTCTGGTCGCACAAGCCGGTCTGCAAAGGCTACGTCGCCGACCCGGCCTCCAAGTACTGCGTCTACACCGACACGCAGTACGGCCCCAACGGCATCAGCATCATCGCCAAGCAGCGCGTCATGGACGCCAGCATCCTCGAGTGCTTGGCCAACAACCGCACCATCCTCCCCAAGAACACCCAAGCACACTTCTCCCGATCGACCAGCCCCCAGCCGTACGAGGTCGTCGACGTCGAGGGCAAGGGCAAGGGCCTCGTCGCCACGCGCCCTATCGCCGCGCATGAGGTCATCCTCACCGACGAGGCGACCCTCATCATGGACAAGAACATCCAGCGCTGGATGACGCAGCCTGACGGCTACAAGCTGCTCAACGCCAGCATGGCGCAGCTGCCTTCCCCCGCCGTCATCGCCGACCTCCACCGCCTGCCGACCGCCAAGGGCAACCTCGTCTTCGACACCCTCAACGCGAACAGCCTCACCATCAAGCTGCGCATGCCCAACATGGCCGTCCTCCCGCGCATCGCGCGTATCAACCACGACTGCCGCCCCAACGCGTACATGCGCCTGCCCACCGACGGGCTGTCCGGCACCGTCGTCGCGGGCGAGCAGGGCATCGCGCAGGGCGAGGAGATCACCATCAGCTACTTGCCGGTCGAGTACGCAAGACAGCGCCGCCAGCGGAACCTGGTGAAGGATTGGGGGTTCGAGTGCGGGTGTAAGCTGTGCACCATGCCGGAGGAGGAGGTGGCGGCGTCGGATGCGAACAGGAAGAGGCTGCACGAGCTGGAGACGAAGTCGCAGTATGCTTCGTATGATAGCAAGACGGAGGAGGCGATCCAGCTTACCGAGGAGAGCTTGGAGGTGCTCCGCGAGGAGGACTTGATGATCACGGCGAAGTGGCGGTATATGTGGCTCGCGATGTTGTACGAGAAGCTGGGCCGGGAGGACGAGAAGGAAAAGTATGAGAAGATGGCGGATGAGTGGGAGGAGAAGTGGCTGGGTGATGATGTGGATTGGGAGATCCGAGCATAAAGATGTCGCATCATCCAAGATTTCGTCGGGATGTGTAGTAACTAATCATTATTCGATTGTGTAGCAGGGCTTCTTTCGTACCCGATAATATCTACAGTGAATTAATCTACTTGTTCAGCCGGGGAGCCCTCTCCGGCTCTCTCCAGTAAAGACACGCCTCCCTGCGGATGACATCCTCCTCGACCCTCGTGCCGTTGTTCGGCTCAACAACAAGCTGCAGCGCCGGCTGAGACTCGAGGCCGTAGCCCGTGGGCTTGTAGCTGGGCCACTCCGGGCTGCCGGGGTACCTGTGCGTGTTCGGGTCGCCCGACAGCACGAAGCTGGACAGATACCCGTGGTAGACGTGGCTGATCTCGGGGTACTGCACGACGGGCTCGTCCCAGGTATACTTGGTGTCCGCCGTGTGCGGGATGCCGCGCCAGGCGGGCCACGAGTTGTTCGTGTTGAAGCGCAGCTTCCAGGTCGGCACGTCGGCGAGCGACGCGCGGTACGCCGTCTCCTGGCCGGGACAGATGTATGCGTAATCGCTCCACGCGGCCGAGAGGCGGTTGTACTGCGTGCTGTTGGGGGAGTTGGCGAAGGGCGAGTCCGGGTGGGTGGCCGGGTCCGGGTAGAGCTCCTGCAGCAGCGCGAGGTCGGTCTCGTTGAGGGCGGGGGACGTGTTGTGCATGTAGTCGACGAATTCCTCGTTCGTCTCCTTGTCGCCGGCCATGTAGTACTTTGCCTCGTCGTTGACGTTGGAGGTGATGGTCGGCACGTGGAAGAAGGTGCCGTCGTAGCCGGACTGCGAGCCGAACTTCTCGAGCAGCGGGCCGCCCTGGGTCGGCTGGAAGGGCCAGGTCAGGGCCGGGTCGTAGTCGTTGTACAGCTGGGTGCTGATGTTGCGGATGGCGTCGATGTCGGCGGCACGCAGGCAGGACAGGGCGGCGGCGTTGTCGGCGCCGTCCGTCGGGCAGCCGAGGTAGGCCATGTAGGTCTCGAACTGCTTGACGTAGAGGGGGTAGGTGGCGTTGGGGAACGCGCGGGCGGTGACGGAGCCGGACTGGTGGATGGCGCGGGCGAAGAGCGGCTTGCCGGCGTCGGCGTCGTAGTTGTGGAAGTAGTGGATGCCGACGGAGTGCCCTCCGGCGGAGCGGCCGCCGATGGTGACGGCCTCGGGGTCGCCGCCGAAGGCAGAGATGTGCTTCTGCACGAACTGCAGGAAGAGACGCTGGTCGAGCACGCCGAGGTTCAGCAGGCCCTCCTCCTCGAAGAGGGCCGACGGCAGGAAGCCGAGGGAGTTGAGGCGGTAGTGGAAGTTGACGACGGTGATGGGCTCCTTGGAGGAGGCGGCGAAGGCGGCACCGTCAAAGGACTTGTAGCTGCCGGCGACGAAGGCGCCGCCGTGGATCCAGACGAGGACGGGGGTCTTCTGGTCGAGGGGCACGCCGCGGGTGCGGAAGACGTTGAAGTTGAGGCAGGCCTCGTCCTGGGTGCTCACGTCGGTGGAGGTCGGGTCCTGGACGCACGTCTTGCCGAAGGCGGTGGCCTGCTTTGTGCCGTTGAAGGCGGCCGGCCAGGAGACGGGCTTGAAGCGGCCCTCGGGGCCGGCGGGCTGCGTTGCGTAGTCCATGCCGAGCCAGGCGTCGACGGGCGCGGGGAGCGCGCGGCCGCTGAAGGTCGAGTTGACGACGGTGCCGGCGAAGGTGCCGTAGTCCTTGAGGGTGACCGGGTTGTAGGCGGCGGCCGGGGACAGGACGACCTGCGACGCCGCGAGGAGCGACGAGGAGAACTTCATGATGACTGACTGGGTCGAGCCCTCGTCTCCGTGATGTCTCGGTTGTACTTCTTCACCGTGGATGAAGGAGGTGAAGAGGGAGGAACATAGCAGCACCGATGCGCAGCACCGGATGCCGCCGATCTTTAAGAACATTTTTTTTCTTCTCTCGTTCCCTCTTCCGCGTTGCGCCGCTTCGTGTTTCCCCTCTTGATGGCGACAATTTCCCGACGACCCGCTCACAAGACGACCCCGTTCGTCGCTGGGATGGTCTTGACGGAGGCAACGTTGACGGTGTAACCCATTGACCACTGACGTTGGAGAATTGAGAAGAGTTGGAGAAGCCCGGATCCCTGACTCAAGCATCAAGGCACACCCGGGCAGCGGAGAGCTCGCTGCGAGCACGCTAGATCCGTGGAGATCGATGTCATTGCTTAAGCGAAGAGGGGTCTCTCTCCGATATCGTCGGCGCTCACTTTTGGGGCCCGGGGTCCCAAGAATCAAGATGGGGATTTGACGCTGTGCAGCCAGTGAGGTGAGCGGTGTTGATAAGAAGCAGCGCAAATGACTAAATCTCCAAACACAATGCTTCAACTGCTCACCGAGAGAGCGAGAGAGAGCCCCGCAAAGAGAGGCCTTTTTGGGGATCGGCAAGGGTAGCATGTACCCCAACCTCCCTTTTTGCCAGCCGGTCGGCTCTTTTCTCAGGAACGTCGTGGATTTTGGCATTAACGAGTGGAGTTTGGGAGAGGCAGTGCGATTGATGATTGATGAGGAGCACAGGGTCGAACAAGGTGCGATAACCACGCTCTGATAGCGACCGCAACATCCGTCATCCGAGATCGTCTTCCGCGATCCGATATCTATCCTCTATCTTCTTTTTGGGTTGGTCTTTCATGTTCAGTCGTGATATCGTCATTGACATCTCCCCGTCCGCCACGTCTTGCGGAGTAACCCGAGCATTTCTGAGCAGCCCGACGGCGCAGATCGGGTTCATCCCATCCCCGAAGACCGTGCACCAAGTGATTTTCAAAGTGTTCGCTTCTGGTGATGATGAGAGCAGGGTATGTCTCATGCTCGCCTCAACCGGCCATCTCCTCGTCCTCATCGTCATCTCCAAGCCCCGCCTCCAGGAACGACGCGCGGTTCTGCTCGACGGCCTGCACGAACTCCTCCTTGCGGAACGCATCGGGCCACCCGTATTCACGGTACAAGCCCTTGACCAGCTGCAGCAGTGCGTTAGAGCAATGGTTTCGCGAGACGGTGTTTTGGTGCTCAATTGCAAAACTCACCTGTCCCTCCTCGGTGTGCTCCTCCACAACCCGCGCATCCCACTTGCCCGACCGCGGCGCCGGGACGACGTCCAAGTTGCCCACCTGCGCGTAGACGTTGTCAAAGTAGGTCTCAATCGGGACGGCCTCGACGGCCTTCCACGGCTCTCCCTCTGGCGCATCCTCATGGCCCTCAAACTCGGTGCCGTAGGGATAGATGCATCCTGTGTGATTGTTAGTAACTCATCAGGTCTCTTCATTCGCACTAGACGTAGACTCTCAAAATGAGAATGAAAAGGAACATTGTCAGAATGAACGTGTAAAAAAAGAAAGAAAAAATGAAACCAACCCTCGTCCGTATCAACCAGCCACCAAATCCCCTCGTCCGCATGCGTCAACGAGACCATGCCCGCCGGCACGGGCCCGTCAAACGGCGCGAACCCCAAGTCCAGCATCGCCGTCGTCGCAAAGTCCTCCCCGCTCGCCGTGCCGAACCAGCGCCCGTCCCGCAGGTACCGCAGCGGGAACGTCTCCGTGTACACCTCGACGGGGTCCGCCGTCTCGTTCTCGCGCAGGTACGGCATGTGCCGCAGCAGGTCGATCGCCGTCTCCGAGCGGCCCATCGCCCGCAGCGCGTCGACGCGCAGCTCGGCGTCGCTCCAGCCGGTCCCCGAGGGCGGCAGCTGCACCACCGAGGCGTCCATGTAGCCCATCCGCACGAGCAGCTCGTAGTGCCGCGTGAGGCAGTTCACGACGGTGTCGCGGTTGTAGCCTGACATTTTTCCTTCTTTTTTCTTCTGATGAAAGATGAGGAAAATGTGTTCTGAGAGTTCTGGCTGAGAGGTGGGAATCTTGTTGGTGAGGTGAAGATTTTTGAGTGAGCGGTCCCTCTCCCCTCGCCCCGGTGTGGGGCGCGTCGTGGAGGCGGGTTACTGGTTCCTGAATCGACTGCAGAAAGGACGATGAAGAAGACATCATCAACTATGATATCGCGGTTTGCAGCGTGTATTTAAGCTTTGCGATACGTCAGGATGATCAGAAATCACACCGATTTCTGAACCCATGCCAATTGGATGCTTTGCATCAATGCAAACGTCGTAAATAATATTCCTAGTCATTTTGTTTCACGAGTTAATGCTACATACAACGTCCAAGCGACGTTTTGACCTTTTTCGACCAATGTGGTAGAAATCTACGCAACTTCTAAAAACATTATACGGCATATTTTTGAAGCCATCTATGCGACTAGAATTTTGTTTGGAAAATCCGGAATCTCTGGGGAGCTCAAGGTGGATGTAGATGATAGTATGCTCACTTCTCGTCGTCAAGCACCAGCAGGTTCCTGTACACAGCGTTAGAAGAAATCGTGGGCTACAGTGAAAGAGAAACTCACCATGAGACATTCCATCCATGCCGTCCTCCTAGGCTCTTACACATCCCCCGACTGCCCAAGTTATCCGGTGCAACATCTGCAGAACACCATCCGTCCGGGCCATATTCGGACGTGCTCCTCTTGAACAACTTGGCGGCGAGAGCCTTTGCATAGCCTCTCTTACGATAAGGCTCCTACGAAATATTAGTAATATTTCCTTCTACGCTTTCACTTAATAACTCACCTCGCAGTGAAGACTCGACAGAGAAGCATCAGTCCCTAGAGCCAAAGTCTAAGCATCGCTCGCCCAAGCATTTCACTCTTTCAACCTACCCAAGAACGACCACGCAATAGGCGTCCCATCCTCCAACTTCAGCACCAAACTCGGGAACGTCAACAACGTCTTCCTTTCCAAAAGTCAGCACCCCAGTCCCCTCCCCATCTCCCACATAAAACTTACACCTGCCGCGGAATACTCGTCCTCGAAATGACAACCTCACAATCCCTCTCATTCGCCCTCTCCCACCTCGCCCCCGGCGGCAACTCAACCTCCACCTCCCGCACATCCTCCACCCGGAACAGCCACTTCTCATACTCATACTCCTGCCGCGCCTCGATGCCCACCCCGCGGCGCACCATCGCCTCCTTCACCGCCGTCGCCAGCGTGCCCACCAGACACCGCCCCGGGTACCCCCTGTGCTGCGGTTGCTCGCGCGCAACAGCTTTCACGGCATCGACCACCGCGACGATCTGCGCCTCGCACACCTCGCGGTCCGCCGCGGGAATGGAGGATGGTGGGGAGTCTTCGAGGGTGGAGTACATGAAGAGCGAGGTCTCGATGCCGCTTCCGAAGTCGAGGTACGCGGCTGCAAAGTTCCGCGCGGAAGATACGGGGGCGTCTGCGGCGAGGATGATGCGCGCTGTGGGCCGTTGGCCGCCGGGGAAGCCTGTGAACTGCAGGCGCCGGAGGACGGGAAGTGAGTTTGGGAGGTGGGATTCGAGGAGGGGGACGAGGCCGTCCGGGACGGAGGTGTGAATAGCGGCCATGTTTGATAATCTGTGATTCTGTGAGCAGAGTGTAGTGTCAAAGGTTGAAGTTCTCGTGAAGCTGGCTGCCGAGAGAATTGCGTGCTGAGGTTGATATGCGTCACGTAGCGGGTGGTTATCGGCGTTAGGGAATATCCGCTTGGTGCGTTATCACATCAGATGATTGGTGTGGCTCGATGAGGAAGTTGCCAATGGAGACATGAGAGTGACTCACCCATCACCCTCATCCTAAGTGTCTCTTGCGCTGAAGATGTATGGGATGAGTCAACTTAGACATTACTATTTTAACGTTCATTGATGTCTCATGTGATATTTGCAGTGATTGATGATATTTAATGTGTCATTTACGACCACTTTGATTCGTATGTGAAGATAGCCACATAATTGTCATCATTGAGAGTATCAAGTCAACGGATGAAAATGAACACTATGGTGCACTTAAATATTAGATATATGTAGTGTGGAAAAGTAGAGAAACAATCCTGGCTGAATGTACGTGCTTAAGAACTCGTCATTATGTTTGGCCGACATGTTCCTCAGACCCGTCGATGAATTATTCCGCATTTCATAGAGCCTCAAGGCCACCATGGAGATGGACGTTTCATTTTTGTAGTAGATACTTGCTTTTCATGATTCTCTGCATCAGTTTGCTCCTCATCCAGAACAACGTGCCAACAATATTTGCCTTCACCCGTACACCAAGCCCACCCACGCCCCCAAAAGCTGTGCTCCTGCACCAAGAAAACTCAATTCCCTCAACTCCGATGCCAACCGCCGGTGACAGCTTGATAACGATCTACTCTCCCGCCCACGGAGATACACGGTAGCGGGGTGCGCCCTTTTGACGTTGGACGTTCAAAGTAGGCTAAGCCCCGATGGACCGTGTGGGGGGCTGCCGCCAAATGTCTCGGTCCAAAAAATCTCCTCCCAACCCCATTCCGGATCTGCACCGGGTGGCCGCTCAACAAGAAAAAATTTCCCCCCATGTCGCGATGGCGGTCGGTGAGCCCTGTGCCGTGAGGTAGTGACTCACTGGCTCACCTCGCGCTTCCCCAACTCCTGGGACCCCGCACCAATGACCCTGGCACGCAAGTCGCGATCACGACTTACGCGTCGGGGAGGTGGTAGATCTTCTGGATGTCGTGGAGCATGGACTCGTGATCAATCTTCAGGTCCTTGAGCAGACCGTCGTTGAAGCCAAACACCCAGCCGTGGACGATGGGGAACTTGTTCTTGGCGTAGGACTGCTGGATGGCAGCAGTCTTGATGACGTTGCGGCACTGCTCAATGACGTTGAGCTCGACCAGGCGGTCGTAGCGGGCCTCCTCGTCCTTGATGGCGTCCAGCTCGGCCTCGTGGAAGCGGTAGACGTCGCGGATGTTCCTAAGCCAGGGGTTGAGGAGGCCCAGATCCTTGGGGGTCATGGCGGCCTTGACGCCGCCGCAGCCGTAGTGGCCGCAGACGACAATGTGCTTGACCTGCAGGTGGCGGACGGCGTAGTTGATGACGCTCATGACGTTGAGGTCGATGTTGTTGACGAGGTTGGCGATGTTGCGGTGGACGAAGGCCTCACCCGGGCCGAGGCCGGTGATCTGCTCGGCGGGGATGCGCGAGTCGCTGCATCCGATCCAGAGGTACTCGGGGGTCTGGCCGGCGGAGAGGGTGACGAAGAAGTTGGGGTCTTCCTTCTTCTTCTGCTCGGCCCAGGCCTTGTTGTGCTCAAAGACGCGGTCGTGCGTCTGCTTGAGGTACTTTTCAATGTCGTTTTCGGCCATCTTGTCGAAGTCGGGCTGCTCAGGGATGGGCTTGGTGACCTTGGAGAAGCCGGCGTGCTGCTGCTGGATGTGGTGAGGTCTGAGGGCGGCGATGTTGGGGAAAGGTCTTGGGGGAAGAGGACGGCCGAGTCGCGCAGAGGATAGAAGAGAGCGCGAGACGGGGCTGGATTTAAACATTAGAGGAAAGGGAAGAGGCAGAAGCAAGGGGGGAGGAGGGAGGAAATAAGAAGGGAGAGGAAAGGGGAGAAGGATGACGGGAGGACGGAGGAAGCGGAGGTGATTCGGGAGGAGGAGCTACAGGCGAGGCGGCTGCAGGTCCGGAGGTTTGGCGCGATTGGCTGCTGGATCTGGATCTGACCGTAGAGGAGCCAAAGGAGCCAAGATTGAAGAAATGTCGCAGCAAGCACGCCTTTCCTTCCAATTGCTTCTTGGCTGCGGGCTGCCGTTGCTGCTTCGTCTTCGTCTTCGGAAGATTTGTTGGGAAGGTCCGACGATCGCGCTAGAGACGTCACTGCGCAGAACGGTGCCAAGACGGTGCGTAAACGGTGCGGCGCTCCTGTTTTGTTCTGTCGATAGTCCGGCGCTCCGGCGGGGGAGGGGGGAGGTTGGGTGGTCAGGTACGGAGTGTTGAATTGACTTGGGGGGAAATGATGAGGTTGGGACAGTGCAGGTTCGCAGTCAGTGTCACTATCTATCGGCGAAACTAAATTATCACGGGAAGGGTTCGAGGGAAGATGATGGACCTAAAAACGGAGACTAGGTGCGGCAAACGGGAGCTTGGCGAAACAGACGAACAAAGCTTCAACTGTTTGAAGAAATCTGGGCGGCTAATTATACAGATCGCATGTAATATCTCACTCACCAAGAAAAGAACGATCGATCTGGACTGGATCTCAGAAAAGCAGCAAGGTACAGGCATGAGTCAACAACGGCTTAAAAGCGCTCACAGCCCAAACGGCCCAGCAGGACAGCGATGAACCCCGCCGGTACCCGTCCGCAACTCTGGAACGCCCACGAAGCCATGAAAAAAAAGCCATAAAAGTTTCAATAGCGCCGCCGGCCCCCCGTTTCAATGTGCGCGGCCAATTTCTTGGCTGACAACTTACGGAAACGCGGCCCTGCGACTGCATCTCGCTGCCGACGATCTTGGCCAAGACGGCACATACTGATTTCCAGCCTGGGTTAGGCGTCATCTCACCGACAGATTCCCGAGGGGTGATTTGACATGTGCAGAAATTCATGGATGGATGGATGGATGGCAGGAAAAATGGAGGCACGTTGCACCGGAGCCTTGCTGAATCTGGGGTTTGAGTCAATTCGAAATCCGTTGATTCGTCTCCATGCTCTTCCCTCAACATCCAGCCCTGGCCCCCTGTTCCTTTTTCTTCCTGCACTGTGTCGCGCCTCCGAACCGGTCACCACGCCGTTGTTGCGCCGTGGAAGGCCGGCTCTGGCTCCACATATTCTCGGAGCCCCGGCGTCACTGGACCAAGCACCTCCGGCTCGCTGTCTTGTCTGTCTTGCCCCCCTCTCTTCCGTCCAGTTCCGTCTTGATCCCCACCCTTTGACTCGTAGTGTCTCTCACCTGTACCATGCATCCGCTCACATAAGAGTGTCTCATCAAAGTGCCGAACCTTGCAGCTGATGCTCCTACGTCTCTTGAACTCAACGGGGTTCCCGGGGACGCGAGCTCGACCTTGGGCAAAGAGGTCCCAGCGAATTCCCGCCATGACCCCCATCGGCACAGTGCCCCCATCCTCCTCCTCGACAAGTCGCATCGACTTGCAGACGACCTTAGCTTGGACCCCAACGGTCCCCGAATTCCTTTTGTCATTCAACAGCGGCACATCCGCACACCAGTTCAGGCAGTAAGGCCACTCTGCGCTCACTAGTCTGGTGCCTTTCCTTCCGAAGGAAACATGCCAAACTGGGTGAAACCGGAGAGGGGAAACCCCTGCGTGTCAGTGAGCGGCCCCCGCGTGTTCTAGCTTTGCTTTTGTTCGGCTGACAGAGCAGAACCATGGACGGTTCGTCTCTTTGGTCTAGCAGAGAGAAAGCTACTTTGCCTTGGAGCCTTTTTGATCTCGATGGAGGCGGAATCCTTCATTACTAGCTGCTTGCTAGTAGCTGTCAAAATCGAAATAGCAGCACTAGGCTGATGGATTGATAGCCATTAGTCTATTCAAGAAACGCGGGGTAAAGACATCTGCAGTCAGGACAACTTGGAACATCATGAATCGCAACCAGCTGCATCGTCTGGTGGTTCAACGTAGGAGGCAACACGTGAGAGTTTCAAGAAGGCAAGATTAAGGTGTCCCGTGAGCAGGAAGTCACGCAGGTTAAGCCTTCAGTTCGTCGCAATTTTGCATGCCCAGTGCTGATTTCCTCATACTTAACAGCACCCATTCCCTTGTCCCCCCACGTAGAAAGCTCGGGAGTCCTTTTTGTGAACCTCTTTTCGTTTTTCTTCTCTTCGTTTCGTCCCGGGTTGCCACTAGCTGGCAGTAAATATCGTCTCATTATTCATATCTAATCTTTTATTTTTCGTCTTTGCTTCGGTCAACCATGGTCACCTGGGGTGCACCATCACGACGAGGCCTGGCCCTCCTGGCCGCCTCTCTAGCCCTCACCCAAGCAGCCATCTTCCCCCGGCAGAGCAGCGAGGCCCCGCGCGCCTGGGTCACCGTCGAAGCCGATGGCGCCACCAAGACCATCACACCCACCGTCAACGACGGCAAGACAACCTCAGCGTTCCCGGGGAACACCGCCCTCCCGACGGCCGAGGCACAGGGCGGCGGCGCCTTCGTCCTCTGCAACCCCGCCGCCGGCTCAGGGGGCCTCGCGCAGCCGTTCTGCGCGCCGGCAAAGGACAATCAGGTGGAGGGTGGCAAGACGTACTTTGGTGAGCAACAACAGCTGCAGCTCCAACACCAGCTCGAGCAGCAGCAGCAGCCCTGTCCCCCCATGCATCGACTGCAACTCGTGGGACGGCCGCTAATCGTGTACCAGTCACCTGGGACGCCTCGCTCTTCCCCTCCTCCAACACCGTCGTCCAGGTCCAGGGCGACTACGGCGTGACGAGCACCATCAAGGAGCCCGGGCACGGCTTCTCGTCGCTCGAGATCCCGGCGGCGGCGGGCTTCTTCGAGTGGGCCGTGCTGGGCTACGACATGCCCGCCGGCGAGGCGATGGATGTGCAGCTGTTCCTGGCGGTGCCCGCGGCCAACGGCAGCATCGTCGCGCGCAACGCGGGGCCCAAGGTGCGCGTCGTCAGCAACAACCGGACCTCGGTCAACGACCCGGTGCGCCGCAAGGTCAACGTGCTGGGGATCGTGCTGCCCATCGTGTTTGGCGTGCTGTCGCTTGGTGGGATTGGCTGGTTCGTGTGGTGGTACGGCAGGAGGAAGGGCATGTTCGCGTCACGCAGCCAGGGCTATGGTATCGGGAAGAGTCGCGGGCAGAGGACGGACGGGTTGAGGCTTGCGGACGGCACTTTCACGTCGGCGAACCGCGGCGGGGTGGAGATGATGCCGCCGCCGAGACCGCCTCCGCCGAGCACCGGTAATGCCTTCCGCGATGAGCTGAACAGACAGGAGCGGAATAATGAGGCACGCAGCGACATGATGTAAGGGATGGACCAGATGCCTGGGTCACTTGACATGAGTAACGGCTTGTAACAACATTACGCTCGTTGAAAATGGGAGGCATTGTGTGATTATTGAGGGGGTAGACGGCAAGGGGCAGGTTCCGGGTAATGGATCTAATTCAAATAGAATACCCAAATCAAAAGCTCTGGGTATGATTTATGCCACACATAGTGGGAAGCTTGGGAAGACAGCAGAGAGTCGCACCGTATTATTGATTATGTCGTCTTCAACCCATGAACTCGGCATCACTTGATGCGAGTTGGCTTCAACCAAAGTGTGTGGCGATGGAGCCAAACGAGGTGAACGAGAAGCAGGCAAAATGATTTTGCTCTTTGAACCAGTGACCAAGTATGCTGATTAATGAATCAAAAGGATTCATGACAGGGTATACTCGTTTGAAATGGCCTAATACGACCCGTGAGGAGGATGGAAGCTTTCATCGAAAAGATCAACAGCTTTTGTGTTGTTCTCTCACAGCTGGAGCTCTGGCGGTGGATACCATCTCGAAACGGAAAGGTGGAACAAGCAGAGAGAGGGTCCACCTGGACTTTCCCATTGGCTGTGCTGAACCCAAAAATTAGGCGAGGGAAAAAACGCACTGACCAGAACCACAGGGCTTTCAAACCCCAATCGCCGCCGGCTGCGCTCGCTCGGTGTGGTCGCGAACATTTTTGGACATCTCGACAAATTTCCCCCTTCCGACCTCTGTCCCGCTCGAGCATCCCGTCAACTAACCCGACCACCACGTCCAACCAGCCCCAACCAACCGCCAAAATGAGCGCCGCGTTGAACAAGATCGCCCCCAACAGCCCCTCGCGGGCCAACCCCTCCGAGCTCGAGCAGAGCATCGCCCAGGCTCTGTACGACCTCGAGAGCAACACCGCCGACCTCAAGGTCGCCCTCCGCCCTCTGCAGTTCGTCTCTGCCCGCGAGGTGAGAAATACCTGAAGAATCCGCCAGAAAGGACTCGCACAGAAATCTCGAAATCGACAATCCTGTTCCTGCCGCCACGGAATGCCCAGCCAGCCAGTCGACCGACGAGAGAGAACCCATGGATATTTGACTCGCGCACCGTTGTTCCCCAGTTCCACCGATTGAGAGATATCGAGGAGAATATGGAAGGAACCGGAGCGAGCATGTTTCCTGCGACGGTTGGAGATCTCAGGTCTGGTCGAACTCTGCGCTGAAATTGCTGCAGCCGTGGCGGCAAAAGATTTGAACGCTGAAAAGACTCATAATCTCAGGAACAGGACGGGAAGCGGTCCAAGGCATTCGTCCTGGAGCTCGCATGCTGACTTGTGATCTTTGGTAATAGATCGAGGTCGGCCACGGCAAGAAGGCTGTCGCCATCTTTGTCCCCGTTCCTTCCCTGCAGGGCTTCCACCGCGTCCAGCAGCGGTAAGTTTTATATTCCCAAACTCCCATCTCCCCAAGCCGCGATGCTGATACCCTTCACAGCCTCACCCGTGAGCTCGAGAAGAAGTTCTCCGACCGCCACGTCCTGATCCTGGCCTCCCGCCGCATCCTCCCCCGCCCCAAGCGCTCCGCCCGCTCCCGCAACACCCAGACCCAGAAGCGCCCCCGCTCCCGCACCCTTACCGCCGTCCACGACGCCATCCTCACCGACCTCGTCTACCCCGTCGAGATCGTCGGCAAGCGCCTCCGCACCAAGGAGGACGGCTCCAAGGTCCTCAAGGTCATCCTCGACGAGAAGGAGCGCGGCGGTGTCGACTACCGCCTCGACACCTACTCCGAGGTCTACCGCAAGCTCACCGGCCGCGGCGTCACCTTCGAGTTCCCCCAGAGCGGTGCCTCTGACTTCTAAGCTACTCGTCCTCGTAAAGATGGCTGGGTTTCTTAGGGGAGAACTTCCTCACAAAAGTGTTTACTGGGTCGGTCAATGATGGATGGGGCATTTGGCATTTTAAGGTCTGCTGCAATGAAGAGCATGGCAATGACTGGTTGGTCAAAAGGGTCTGGCGTCTAAAGGATGTAGCTTGGCGGATTCACTCAATGACCGCCCCCAAAAATGCATATACCACACACTTGACCGCTGCCTTCCGTATTGTCCCTCTTGCTAGTGACCATGAAGTGATGTAACCTATGCCCATCAGTGATTACACCGTAAGCTTATGATGGAGTGCAAAGTCGAATTTGGGGTATCATTCATTCAGACATCTACTCCTGGCTGATGCGTCCAACTCCCAAGACGCACCAGTATGCTAGCTCCCTCTTTTCTCTAGCCTCCTTGTCCTTGCCCTGCGCCGTGCCAACATCCCCCTGGCCTTCCGTTTCCCACTCGAGGCGCACAAACATGGGTATCTCCAACACATCCTCGTCCCCAAGGAGCGCATCCTCAGCAGCCTTGCCGCTGGACTCCAGCCTGAGCGAGGCCGGGACAACTTCCAGCACGATGCTGACCCAGTTGCGGCCGCGATCGTAAATCTTGCCGACTTCCGCCTGTTGCAGCGCCCCCTCCTCGCCTCTCCGGCGCTCCTTTTCGGTGTCGTCTTTGAGCGCGTCGTCCCACATGTCCGTATTGGCGTCGATCTCGAACTGAGGGCAGAACACCGTCACGGTGCTCGCGAACCGGCCCGGCGTGCTGGACGGCGTGGCCAGGGACACCTTGACCGTCTCGAAGATGGGGTTCTTGAAGGTCAAGAGGTACTGCACCGGCTTCAGCGGGGCTAGCCACAGCTCCTGGGGTATCGGCGGCCTGGCCGTGGAGGGGATGTTCTGTGACTCCGAGGCGAGCGGCCGGATTGTGATGGTGGGAATGTAGCTCCCGGCGACTAGGCGAATGCGGAAGCGGGTGTTGGAGATTTTCGCTTCCGGCTTGCTGATAATGTGCCTGCAGATTGGGCATCGCTTCGACCGCTTGGTTCTCAGCAGGTAGGGAATGGGCCTCAGCTCGTCTCTGAAGCGCACAGAGTCCTGCTGGTGGGCGTTCTGGGCAATGGTAGCTGTGTCGTCGAGGACGGTCTGGCGAAGCTTTTCGATAGCCGCCGACTCGTCCAGGTCCGTCTCCTTCAGCCCCTCGTCTGTGCTGACTGCCTCACGCATGATCTGCACCTTGCCCCGCGCCTGCTTGTGGCCATAGTTGTTTCCCGTGTACAGACTCATGATACGCGACAGAGATCCGGGAGAGGAGAGCCCAAGGTCCCCAAGAGAAGACAGCCCGCCTGCAGAAGGGTTCGAGTTTGCAAGCTGGTTCTGGTAAAACGACTTGAGTTGCGCAAACTGCAGCTCCGTGTCCATGTCCTTTGCGTCCAGCGAGTAGTCTGCCCCGCTCTCCTTCTTCCTCTCCTTGTGCTCCTTGGGCGTCAACTTGGGCTTGCCGCCGTTTTGCAGCTTCGCCAGCTGCCCGTGGATGCCATTGGGCCTGTCGAACTTGATGCCAATCTCGGTTGAGCTCCAATTGCAGTATGAGCAGTTTAGGACGTATGGGCCACCCTGCGGGGCAGAGGCGTCAGCGGTGAGGAGACTGCTGGCTTCGGACCGCTCCTCAAGACTCGTAACCGCGAGGGGACCGATGCAGACGGGACATTGGAAACAGCTTCGAGTGCACCTGCGGGGAAACTATCAGCAAGATCGTCCCAAGTGGTGTCGCAGCACTGACGCGCTCACCTGTTGCCCTCGCTTTTTAGGTTACTGCTAGGCACCTCAAACAAGCAGTTGGGACAGTAGTAGGTGACAATCTCCTCGTTGACGCAGCGAGGACACCTGATCTGGTGGCAGTCCTCGCAGTACATCAAGTGCTCCAGGGGAAAGAGGCTGAAGTTGGCGCGCGGGGCGCGGGGGTCGAAGGTGCGCTCATCGTCCTCTGGGCTGCCGGGTGTCGAGGAGCCGTCTTCGCTCGCCCGCGTCTCGGAGCAGGGGCACCGGATGTAGGTGTATGGGGTCAAGGGCGCCATTACTGCTCCGACATAGTGGTTGACGGAGTCGATTCCGGGGGCTGGAGATGTGGTTCGGGGCCGACTGAGTTGTGCTGATCGAGAGGCGTTTGAAGTTCTGCACAGAGCTGCTGTCCCGGACGCGAAAGCGATGCCGTCCGATGGGTTCAACACGGCGCCGAATCAATCCCACCTCAGGTTTGGTGGACAGCAGCCGCCAGGTGCCGAGCTTTCGATGCACCTGGCAGAACAAGAGGACGGGCTTACCTTGATCCCGGGCCCGATCGTTATTTCGATAAAAAAAAGATAAGACGAGACGATTAGATAAGCGGGGTGAACGGTTCGCAGTGGAGCTTGAACTCTCGTACCCTCCATTTCGGCCGGACGAACGACTTACACGAACTTTCACGTCCTTCCACTGACTACTCATTGACCTGGGATGTCGATGGCCACCTTAGCTCATCATCCATCGCCTGTTGACACGCGCTACCGCTCGAACACTTTGCCCATTCCATTGGAGACGATGGTCGTACGAACGGACACTCGCTTCTCGCGTGGGCGTGGTGTCAAACCCTCAAGATTACCGACCGTCTCTTGTCACTGCATCGCCGGCTGCTTCGCCAAGCATGCCCCGAATCAGCCGTCACAGGTGTCACCCATCACCATTTCATTTGGTCTCCCACGAGAGACTTGACTCCTTCAGGCGAATCTACGACTTCGAATCCATCCCGATCAGATCGAAGGTCTCGGTGTCCCCGGGGATGATGGGAATGGCCACAGCACCGAGGACAACGAGACTCGACTCCGCCTTCCAAATGCCCAACCTTGTTCGCTCTGCCGGCCGCCACGCCCCCGGCCAAGCTTGCCTCTCGTACCTTATCTCGTCCAAGTCTCGTCTAAGGCTTCCTTTTGCCGTTCAATGGGTTCCACCTGGCTGGAAATTCTCCTTCAGCTTCGACGTTTTCGTTGCAGCAACAGCGCCGCGCTAGCGGCTGGCGGTCCAGACCCCTCTCAGTAGCGGCGGTCTAGGTCGCGCAAGCCTCCCGAAGCGAGCGAGAGCTGAAATACCCATGTTCTGGGAAGCGTGTCTCTCCCCCGGTCCGGCACTCGACGGCGGCCAAGGTTGATGGGATCCGTCTCCGGAGCTCCTTTGTGCCTCTCAGCTCGTCGAGCATGACTGTAGCCCGGCTGCAAGGGATGGCAGCACTCTGCACGGTGTGCGTCCCGCCACGCAGGCAGAAGAAGCAAAGCACCAGAGTGCCTGCATTTTCTGTGCCGGTCCGTCGTTCCACCCACAACACAGTCCGTCTGGGCGTTGATTGTGCATTTCGCTCCAGAAGGTCGTGTCCATCGCAACATCGACCAGCCCAGCGTTTTGGCCTCCCGAACACTCGCAGGCCATAGCTTTGTCAAGGTGTGCCGCCGACGAGGTGGCGACCAAAGAGGAAACCCGGCGAAGCAAAGTCGGGGTTTTCTGGTCTCGAATCGTCTGATGTCGCGAGCACGGCAATGCAACTGTCCACTGGCTGGCCCTGTCCAGCAGACAAGGTGTTCAGGTCGGCCGACGGCATAGAGCGAGGGATCGAAATGCGCACTCGCGGTTCCATTGCACTGGAATCCGATCCTGGATCATCCCAGTACTATTTGACGAGGGTGCACAGCAGCGGGAGCATGTCTCTGCCTGGGGCGTTCCTTTGAGACTGCAATGGGCCTGCAATAAGTGCCCGGGACTCTTCGGTTACTTTTCCGACAAAGAGGGCGAATCGGAGCACTGTCAAAAAACAGCTTCCAGGAAATACCGTCTGGCAGTTGCCGTCGCCGAGGATGCCTGGCGCCATTTGCTAATGACGTCGCTTGGCCCTCTGAGTTGTCAGTCAGCAGGCCTGCGAACTGAAGGCCTAGAATCAGGATGAGGCCTGAACAAGATGAAGACGGTCAATTTTGAGCTCTGCTGGCTGCATGCGATCAGGACCGTTGGGATTTTGCTATGATTACACCACATCCTGCACCAATGACTGATGAATCAGCAGCATGATCCAATTCCGACATTACTACAAGAGATGGCAAAAGGAACTCAAGCTCCCGGTGCTGGGCGCCAACTTTTAATGAGACACTGCTCCCATGGAGAGAGCCGCCCGCCGTGGTGGCCAATCAGGAAGCTCAGAGGTGCATGCAAGCTTACGCCGAAAGATGCATCAAGGACGGTGATCCCCCATGTCAACCCTCCGAAGGGTGGGTGAGGGGAGCCAACAGGGACGCTTTGCATCACCACCACAGACTAGCACCCTGCTCGGCCCCAGAAGGCAGGCCCACGGTGCAGAAGTGCTCTTGTCATCGAGGGAACTACAGGTGCCCCATTCTGTCGATCACTTCAACGTCGTCGTCTTGGACCGCGTCACAACAGCGTTTGTGGAGACGCAGAGAGTGTTTGAGACTTTCAGACATGATCTGTCGCCGTTGAAGTTGCAAAGTTAGGACTGAAGTATTCGGGGAGGGTTTTCCTGCGAAGCTCTGCTCACAGACGGGGAACTTACTGCGGCGCAGTGAAGCTGACGCCTACTACTGCTGCATCATGTGCCAGGCACAGGCAGGTCGATTACACACACGCACTCGCATAATCAGAGCTTGACAGCGCATCCAATACTGCTGTGGATGACAGGCACATCCGCATGGTCGCCTTCTCTCCCCATTCAGGCCAGGACAGGGCTGTGAGTGAGGGGTTCGTCCATCCTACCTAGTGGCGGCCCGGCCTAAGACATAGCGTGAAGCCATATCCTTGTTGTTCCCGCCGCGTCACTCGAAAACTGCTCGGACCCTGAGGACGTCTACTAGTACCACCACGGCGTTGGTTCAGACCAGTCCCCGAAAGTCGGGTCAGTTTGTTCTGATTTGGGACAAGTGACATAAAGCCGTCACGACGCCCGCCCGAAGACGTTTTGTAAGGTTTGCGGCGTTGATTTTTCCCACGCAACCACAGCTTCTCGCACACCTGGGTCTGCTGTTTTCGTTGAGGTTGTGGAATGCAGTGACGATCCAAAGTCATTGTTCCCTCATACGGGCGTACTGGTCACGCGCTAGTCGGCTCAGTCCTCCCATCCACCCCTCATCGACAAACGCAGATCTGCCAGGGGTACTGACGGAATTATTGGAGGTCTATCGGCGGTCCGGAACACACTCTGCAGTCATCGGCGCCTTCCAGGGCCATCAGCTCTTCAGCTATGAGGCTGTGGCCGCATCCAGCGGGCTTGCCATTTGGCTCGTGGAGGAAAGAGCCGTCCAAGGGGTCATCCAAAGCGGCACCCAAGGATCGTACATATCAGCGACACATTCCCACCCCGCTGTCTCAAGATACCGCTTCCACCCAGACCGTTCGTCGTGAACCCCGTCTCCGTTTGTCGCCTCCCCCGCCAAGTCCCACGATGTCGATATCAGGTCAAGCATGGAAGTCAAAGAAGCTTGGAGTGCCCATGATGGATGGAAGGGCAGCTCAGATTGCAAAGGTCAAGAGGTGGGATGGAGCTGCGAGGTCATGCAGTGACTGGGATAACCTGAGGAGGGTAAGTCTGCATATCCGCGGCTGGTTTCTCCAGCAGTGATTTTTTTTGTTTTCTCAACTTACTAACATTCATGCTCAGGATCCGGAATTGTGGTTCCGTGGTGGAAACTGTTTCGTGCATTTGTACGGCAAGGGCCAGTCGAGAAGAGGACCTGCGTTCAAGGTGCCGTTCGGTGCCTTGCTTTCTGCAAAATGCCACCCGTTCGTCAGGAAATTCATGTCCCGCGACATGCCTGAATCTCCAGGATCATTTCACGACCCGTATGAGGACCTCGACAGATGGAACGCACTGAATCCTCACGAGAGAATCGAGCTTTACATCCCGGCTCCCCCCATGGCCGACAAGGAGCAGGCATTTGCTTACCATTTGGCGACGCGCAATTTCTTCGCGTGGATCTTCAGGCGGTCGGTTGTCGGAGAACATCTGGGAAGCGCCCTCATCGGACTCATGAATAGTATGGCAGAATTCAGGAGCAACGGTGAAGACCACATGATGGACCTTCACTCTTACCTGGACGAGGAAGGCTACTTGGATTTAAAGGGCCATGCGCACCACGCTTTGGCAATCTTGCATCTGGCGGAATTCTTCCAGATGCGAGATATGTACATTGACGCCTTCAGTCATTGCGTTGGAATGAGCGAGGAGCTCTTCTGCAGTCCGGAGTACCAGGTATGCGCGTTGGAATCCATTGTCTGACAAGCGAAGTTTAACTGACATTCCGCAGCAAATTAGCTCGATCTCCCGGACTCTTATTCGCCGAGCCCGCGCAGACATGAACAATAGGCTGAGTCTTGCCGGGAGCATGTTGAAATCATTCCTCGAGGACGAACTCTCCGAAGCAAACCTCGGCTTGCCAGCTGGAGGGAGGGCCCACCTGGATCGATTCCGTTCCTTCGTACTCTCATTCTACCAGACCCGCCTCGGCTACTTTCCACCGCTCTCACTGGATTCGCGAAGCACGATATTTGATCCAGAGATTTTCGAAATCCTGCGAAAAGACTTCCGGGCAGTATACGACCTGCTTGTGGATGAGAGCTTCACCTCCGACGATAGCAGTCCCTTGCTTGCCCAAGGCGGAATTTGCGCCGTGCAAAGCGTGCAATCGTTCGACGAGAGATGCGACTATCCTTCTCTTAAGCACCCTCTCCCACTGTTGCCCGAGATTGACGATGACAAGGCCTCGCGCCGCATGTCTCTCGCATGGCTAGCTAACACCGCCCGTGGAGACAAGCTCAAGCCCGACCATCGCCTCCTTGCACACGCTGCCTTGATCAAGGCGATGAACGTTCGCGACTCGGAACTGCTTGAGAACGACTTTGTTCGGGCCTATCGCAAGTTCGAGGAAGACTCTGTCATGCCACACACCAAAACCGATAAGACAGAAAAGATCAACCCAGTCGATGCACGCAAGGTGCGATGGATCTTGATCTACGCCGTTTACCAAGTGCTTCGCAACTGCACATC